CTGGCTTATAATCAGATGTCTACTGGTCCAAGATTGATAGAAACATTTTATGAACTTCTGAGGGGGGTTGCATGCTCCCTGAGATATAATCAGTTGTTTGGCTTTCATTAATTTTTTTCCTTCAGTAGAATGAGATAAGGTGGCTTAGTTTTAGAATGCTTCAATTTGATGAATGTTTTGCTTTTAAATCCCAAGGAAACATAGGAATCAGCAGCAAGTCCTGGTGATCTGCTTCTGTCATGGCAGCTATTTGGTGTCAATGTGTGAAATCTCTAGTCACCTTGGGCAAAAAAGCTAGTAGATACCAATAATCACAGAATACCCCAGAAAAGAAATTGTGTTAGGCTACCAAAATGTCAAGTAACTTCCAGGCTGTTGGTCTCATAATGAAAAATTAAAGATGTAGTTCATGGCCCTCCCTGGACTTGCAGCGGTTAAATCACAACATTGCAAGCTAGGTGCAGCTGCTCAGTGCTAGTTCAATCCCCCTGGAGGTGACCCACATGGCGCTGCAGGGCAGGGCAGACCTCTCCTGACCTGCTCGCTGCTCCCCTTAGCAGTGTACTTTGTTGACCTGACCTGCCTGTCTTCTCCCCACTCAGTTTCTGGTGAAGCCCCTGCACCTCTTTTTTTTTAAAGATGCTTTTCATGTAGGACTAACTCTATGAATTAACTGTTTATTTCATGCAACCTTGCAAAGAAAACAGAACATTTGTTGTGAAGCAGCCAATCAGTTATTACAGCCTGTGCCTTTAAAATAGTGCCTTCCTGCAGTGAACCTTGTGAATCACAGGGGCCTATTGTGAGGAAAGAAAAAGAAGGCATTAAGGCAGGCGCCAGGCAAGGAGGAAGCACTTAAGCAAGGGGCCTTTAATTTTTATATAACTAACCCATATTTTATAGCCACCTCATAAGAGCAGGCCTCGCTCCTGTTGCACACTTTGTGTGGTGCCCTGAGAACTGCTGCTGGGAGAAACCAGAGACAGTCCCTGACCTTGAAGGGGGATGGAGAGGTAGCTGAAGGCTGGCATTCTCTTCATTTCAGCATCTGGTTAGCAAGATAGTACACTTACTACAAAGCTTTTGTGAAAAACCTTTTTTTGTTTTTTCTTCCTAGAAGCCTTTGGGGAAATCATCCTCTAACCTCTGTTCACCCTTAGAGATGCTTTAAATTGCTGCCCGGATTTATGCAAATGGTTTGGGACTCTGTTCAGAAATGTCTTTTGCAGATGTTGGAGAACAGAGTTGAGCTATTTTTTGGCAAGAGTTATGCTTTTGCTTCATTTCTCCTTGAAGTGGAAATGTCTCTTGCTTGTCCTGGGTGTGGCCTATATTTTCTGGGTAGGGCAGAATTTATTCACTTTGAAAACTTGAGTCAGCCAGAACCTTAAGATAGTGCCCTGGACATTTTGCTTGGTACACAGAGCCTGCAGAGCTGAGTGCATCTATAAATTAGGTTTGTGAAGCACTTACAGCCCATTCAGTGTGGGAATATCATGTTAAATTGCCATGCATAGATTAGAAATTTCAGAACTTAAGATGTTGAGTGAAAGAGCGTTCTCAAACTTTTATTAACCACGAAAGCCTTCAATGAAACTTTATTTTCAAAAGAAACCTTATGATGCAACTCAGCATAATAAAGCAGAATCAGATAAATGAGGACGGAAGCCCCAAAACTCTTTATTTGGGCTTTTCTTTCCCTGTCAGGCCCCCTGCCTTTGGAGCCCCCAAAATATTCTTCTGTCACCCTGTGTCTTTTTAAAAGTAGGATCTGAAAGCCAGAGATGTAATCTAAGGCTGTTGAATTAAGAGTGGTGAAACACTGAAGTTCAGGGAAATTGACAGCAGAGTGGAGGCAGAGGCTGTCAGTTGTAACCCAGAACTTACAGTCCAATCTTCCATGTCCTGCATAGTCCCATTCCACCTTCAGAGCCTAGCAGCTTGGGAGTGCCAAGGTACACAGAGGGTCGCACATGTTAGGTAGCACTCCAGGGGTGGGCAGGCAGCTGCCAGACCTATAGACTGAGGTCTGCAGTCTGGGACCCCTGCCTGAGTGTGCTCACTGTACACAGTGCTGATCAGTGTTAGTGAATTTATCCACATGAGACTGATTTATAAATTATTTATAAATGAAGATGCCTTTTCGTTTATGGTAGAATATATGCTTTGCCAGAGCATATACTTTTATTTTTCTGCTAGATTACTTTGTGGTAGCCCTGGCTGCTCTTAGTGCAAGTCTGATTTCTCTGGAATAATCTAGTGTGTAAAATAATCACATCTCCACCTCAGTCTCTCTTCAGTTCTCTCCTTATTCCACCTACTCCAGGGAATAATAGTGATGTAGGACATTGATGTTTTAAGTTCTTTGGATTATAAGAAATACCAATCAATAAAGTCAAGAAATGGAATTTTTCAGTTGCAATAGTACAGTTTTTTTTTTTTTTACTTGAAGTTTTCCTTTTGGCAGATGAAAGTTATGTGTAGCAATATATGATACTCAATAGCATATGTACAAATAAGCTCTAGTTCTTATATTCGTCCTGATGATGCCTGTGAGAACATCCCCTCAGAAGCCAATGTGCTGATTCTGAAAATAACTGAAAGTCAGTCTATTTTTCCTTTCATCCTCACCAGTTTTCTAATTTGAGGCCAGTTTCAAAGGAGAGACGAGGCACGTTCAGCCATGATGGTCCTATTTTAACCAAGTGTGTGGGGTGGTCCAGATGTGAGCTGTGTGAGCTAAGCTGACTTTCCTTTGATGTGGTACATGACTTTTACCAACCTTCCCTAAACATATCTTCCCATTTCCTGTGGGATTGTAGTATACACTTGTTTAATGATGGCTAAAATAATATCGAAACAAATGTGAATCTGGTTTGCACGCTTCCTTTCCTTGTGCAAAAAATCAAGGGGCCTCTGGAATCCATGCTGTTCCTGTGGAACAATGTTAGAAAACACCACCTTGAATCCATTAGTAGAGTTTGGCAACAGAGCAGTCTCAACTGTTACAAAGAGGGTCTTGTCTAGCTGATTGTTGGGGACCCTCCTACATTTCACTGTAGAGCGGAATGCTCAGTAGGATAATTCTTGAAAGTTTTCCTGAAGCTGGTATCTATGTTGGCAGTGTTGTTTTATACATTTGGAATCATTTCACTATGTTCATAACAGCTGCAAGTTGGAAGATATTTGAGCCCATTGTTTTTGGAGATTAAAGATAATTTCTTCATTTCAACACACATGTTCTCGGCATGGATTTGTCTGTTGACAGACTACAGGGTTTCTGAAAAAACATGTATTTGTGACTCTACCTTTTTTTTTTTTGGTTACACTTTTTTTGTGTAGAAGAACTGGGTCTAGGCCAGAGGTGTGGGGAGTGAGAGGGTTCACCAGAGACCGAGTGGGGATGAGAACAAGTAGATCTACTGAAATACACTGCTAATGGGCACAGTGGGCAAGACAGGAGAGGTCTGCTGTGTCATGTGGGTTAGCTCCCTTGTCAGGGGTTGAACTCAAGCCATAGCAATGATAATCACCAGGGAGGTAGGTCACCAGGCAGGCCCTATATTTAACATTCTTGATGCCTGTTTCAGTTCCATCTACCTGGCTGTACAGTAATTTTTTGGATCTTTACCCCATATTGATTGCTCTGGATTTGATGTCACCCCTTTTTCTTAACAGGCTATAAATAGTTGTTACTGCCCATATGTGCTTTATTTGACCATTTAAAACCCAGTGTTTCTAATGCCCTGGACATCATCCCTGATTATTAGTGCGTTACCTTTTTAGTCATTGAACCTATGTAGGGCCAATGGACCAATTATTGCTACATTCTTATATCCAGTTATAAGTTTGTGTTAAGTTAGAGGTTAAATACACTGAAAAAGGTATTCTCCAAAAAGGGAATGAACAAGCCAGTTGATGTAGGACTTTGTTCTAAAAAAGGTAACCAGGACACTGGTGGCAGAATTAAACTTTATCTTTTGATTTTGTGATTAGGTTTCTGGAGAGTTATTGTTTGACACAAGTCTTTCTGTTAGTATGTGTTTTTCACTCCAGGTATTTAATTCTATGTGTAAACCGATAATGTGAGTTTCTAGTGTTCACAGTCTTATATTTGCTTTTTCCCTGTTGAATTAAAAACATGAGCGAAAGTTGAAAACCTGTTTCAGGCTTTTAGAGTGCAGCTTCACAAATTACTACAATTTTCGATTCTCAAGTTGAATGGGTTAATATAAGATACGAACATTTCTCATTTACTTTTGTGTTATAGTTTGTGTACTAAATTACTTTACACATAATATGAACATTTTGAATTTGCTCTTTAAGGAATTTATATCCTGAATTACTGAATCTTAGCATATTTGTTTTAAAAGTATGCTTATAAAAAGGTATATTGTGGGCCCTCCCTGGTGGCGTAATGGGTTAAAGCACAGCACTGAGAGACTGAAGCCACTTCCTCCTGAGTTCAATTCCTGCCTGCCCTGGAGGTGACCACATGGCGTGGGGGACCTCTCCTGGCCCGCCCATGCTTCCCTCTGTAGTGTCCTTCTTCGATCTGCCTGTGTGCTGCTCCCCACTGTCTCTGGTGAATCCTCTCACCCTCCGCATCTCTGGCCTGTACCCCAGTTCTGTATGAATAAATAAATAAACCTTTAAAAAAAAGGTATATTGTGATCACTCTTTGACAACATATGTAAGCAACATTCTGGTATTATTAATGCAGGCTAAAAAATTGGTGGGACTGCAAAGATAACCAATGGTTTAAAAGTGCATTTGACAGTGATTTCAAAATATCAAGAGAATATGCAAAAAGAAACCAAGGATCAATTTTTGGTCCTAACTCATGTTGCTATTTGTTAGTTAACTAACTTAAAAGATATTATGAGAGAGAGAGGGAGAAGGGAAAAAAGGTATCCTGGAAATAATTACTAATGCTGAAAATTTTGCATCCAGTTTTGGAATGTTTGTAATTTCATGTGCATGATAAAAATGTATTTCAGGTTTGTGGAGAAAAACAGCGGTTTGAGAAGTTGATGGAACACTTCAGGAATGAAGACAATAATATAGATTTTATGGTGAGTTATTTCAGTACTATAGTCAATAAAATAAACTTGGGTTCAACACATTTATATTTATATTTACATTTATAGTTACAAAAATATGCATGTGTGGATGTATATGTATGATTATACATATATATGTGTACATTGGACAAAATTTGGTATCACTTTCTATAGATCCAACTGATACTATTCATCTTAGTCTGTGTTTTTTCTTTATGGCATTTGTTTTTAGTTTAGTTCGTTAAATAACAAAGGGTGGTGCTATCTATCCAGGAAAAGGAAGTTAAAATCTAGTCTAAGTACCTGTGATGGCCAAGTTTAGCTGTCAGTAGTGCTTCAATGATTCCTAAGAATTGACTATTTGCCCTTTTGCATTTCCAACCTACGGAGAATTTCTTCCTACTATGTTTAAAGACTAAAGTGGTTTGGCCTGTAGAATTGAGTGTATGTATCCTCTAATTAATATATTGTAGTGATTCTCCCCCTTGGATCTATTTCCCACTCCAGTAATACTGTGAAGGCATATTCTTGCTCTTTAGAAGGCTATGTCACATGCATGAACATTAGCTGCAGGTAGTAGTAACAAAAGGAATTTGAGCACTTCTGAATTCAAATACCAAAAATCAATCCCGGACTAACGATTGAATCTACTATAGAAAATAGAGAATTTCCTGAGTTAGAGTATTGCATCTTAATTGTAACAGATCTGCAGGCTATCTGACCTAGGGAGCTTCTGACCCCAGGAAGCCCTTACTTGCCTGAATCTCTGAGAGTACCTAGAGCCTTGAGGACATGTCTCAGTTCTTATATTGCTGGATCTTCTAAATCCTGTTCTTAGGATATCAGACAAATTTTAATTTGAATTGCCTCAGTGATTTGTAAAATACGAATCATAGCTTTTTAAATTTCTACCCACTTATGTGAAAATTTTTTCTGGGTTGTCAAATTTGTTATGCATCCTAGCTCTCAACCTTTTCCAAAATTAGTGAAAGAAGAAATTCTTGTATAGAATCTCTTCTATTCCACAAAGCATATCTTTTGTATTTTATTTTAATTAAAAATTAATGTGAACTTGGAAATGTTTACATTGCCTTTTTGATTTTTATTACTAGGGTTTTTTTTTTGCAATGTTAAAGCTAATGTTTGCCCTGGTGGAAAAAAGGTAAAGAGAGGTGATGCCCAGCCTCACATTATCAGTGGTCTTTCCTCTACCTTCTGAGGGGGAACTTAATTATTCCTTTAAGTTGAGGTTGCAAACAGGTTCATAGGCTGAAGCCAACCTACAGACTTCCTAAGTTTAGTCTGACAGTGATGTCTTCTCATAAGAAAATTTGAAAATTGCACATGAAAACAGTGTTAATGATAACCCTACGCTCCTCTTCCTGCAGCATATCAACTGCTAGAGCATGTAGCCCTTGTTCCTTTATATTGAAAATGTCTTTTCCAGTTTGTCACGGTCCACACCATGAGTACACAAGGCCCACTTCAGTCATTTATTATACCCGTCGGATCTCAGTGCCTTTTGAGTTTCTACTGAAATTATAATCATGTCTGAAGCCCTTCCAAAAAAGAAAAAAGGAAAAACCAAAACTCTACTGTGTACAAAAGATAGCATAATTCCTATCAATTTGTTTATTCACCTGCATATGAGTTGAGTAACCTTATTTGGGATTTCTGGTATGCAGGTACTGTGTGCTCTGCTTATGTGTCACCAACAAGTAGTTGCCTCTTAGGCATACTATAAAACTCAATAAATCAGTTAGACCTTCCTGCATTCAGAAGAAAAATGGAAAGATGCCAGAACCCAATCATACTTTTCCTCCAGAAAATGAATCTTTTCATAAATTGTCTTGGGAATGTTGTTAAGTTATGTGACCTTCCAAACAACATATTCCTCATAAAATATAAGTTCTTCTAATGTAGCATAAGAACTTTTCCTGTACTTTTTTTTTATGAACAAAAGAAAAAAAAATACTGTTTTAGGTTATTTAACCATAGACCCTGAAGTAATTTGTTAGCAATTACAGGACAGAGCCCTTGTATTGGGAAAGCATACATTTCTTCCAGGGATAGTCAGTGAAAAACATATACTCAGAGAAGACTGACTTTTAACTCAATAAAAATACTTCAGAGAAATAAAGGCAATAAAGTATGGGGGAGAGAGAAAGAGTAAGGCTATTTGCAGAGTAAGATGAATCTGAGTCCTACCATCATTTTACCTTCTTGCCAGAGTACCTGTTTAGCCATAAAAAGGAAATATTAGTAAAATCTTTTAACCATAAATGAGCTGTTACCATTGAAAACAAAACTGATCTAGTGAACTCTATTCTGTTATTTACCGAACTGGGAACTGGTTTTTCTCTGTGGCAGGTACAAGGGTCACAGACGGCAATGTAGTGAGAAAGGAGTAAATGCAGCACATTGCAGTTTTATGGAATGGAAACTGCTTGATTATTAAAAATCAAAAGATAAGGATCCTGTTAGTATGGTGGGGCCACAGTAAAATTTTAGACGTGTTTATCTTGTGATGCTGTCAGAGGTAATTTAAATTTAATTTGTAATAATTAATATTTCTGCAATATACCTGTGATAACTTATATATTTCATTGTATATACCTATAAAACTAAAAAAAAAAAAAAAGGCTTACTGAGATACAATTAACACATCATCTACTTTTCCTACCTAACCTATGTAATATCTTTAGTATATTTGCAGGGTTGTATATATACTTGTAATCTAATTTAGAATGTTTTGTTGTCCCAGAAAGAATCTCTGTACCCATTAGCAATTGTTCCTCATTTTTCCAACCCCCAGTGCCAGGCAAGTTCTAATCCACCTCTATCTCTGTAGAGTTTTCCCATCCTGGATATTTCGTATGAAATTATGGAAATTCCACTTATGCAATCAAATATGTGACTGATAGCTTACCTAGCATGTTCTTAGGTTTATCTGTGTTATAATGTGTATTGGCATTTCATTCCTTTTTATTGTTACATAATATTCCATTGTGTGGATCTGTCATACTTTAAGAAAAGCCATGTGATGTTAAACATTGGAGCTTCCCCCCAATTTTTCATTTTTTATGAATAATGCTACTGTGAATATTTGTGTAAATTTTTATATGAATGTACATTTTCATTTCTCTTGAGTATATAGTCATAGAAGTGGAATCACTGGGTCATGTGGTAACTCTGAATTTAACATTTTGAAAGTCTGTCAAACTTTTCAAAATGACTGTACTATTTTACATCCCCACCAGCAATAAATGAGGGTTTTGATTTTTCCACATCCCTGACAACAACTTGTTATTATCGTTCTCTTTAATTATAGCCATGTAGTGGATGTGAAGTGGTATCTTATTATGATACTTCATGACTTGAATTTTAAAAAGTCATAAAATATTTTTAAGACCCAATGAAAATGAAATTGTGGGCTTAGCAAAATTGAAAGCATATGCCTATGTTAAAACTGGGAAAACAAGTTTGGAGTGTGTCTAACCCATTGGCAGTTTCATTTCAGGTGGCTTCTATGCAGTTTATTAATATTGTAGTACATTCAGTAGAAGACATGAATTTCAGAGTTCACCTCCAGTATGAATTTACCAAGTTAGGCCTGGATGAATACTTGGATGTAAGTATTGTATAGCCTTTGGCTTCAATTTAAGACTTAATTTATTGCCTGTCCTTGAAGATATACTTCCATAGTGACTGAAGATTGCTTAAAGTCCTATGCAACCCAACACTGTAGTGCTAGTTAAAAGGAACCCATGTAATGCAGTCTTCCAGAGAAACTAGTTTCTTTTCTACCTCCTGCCGGTCTTCTGCTTTCAGCCTTTTAGTACCAGAGTTAGATAACTTCATATATTCTTGCAACAGCTTTTCTATGCTCTTCACTTCTGTCTGGGTCAAGTGTCATTGCATCCTTTTTCTGGGCTATTGGGCATTCCCTTTCTTGGTTTCTCTGGGAACCTCTCTGGGTGGGGAAAGTCAAACCAAGTCTGCCCTACAGTGACACAGTGAGGAAATGGACTGTAGAGACTTCTTCATGTAACTGTTAAATTTTGTTAGATGTCTTTGTAGCTTGAAAGTTACACTTTTAGATCTCTGAAGTAGAAGGTCTAAAATTTCTTTCTCTCCCTCCTTTGCTGAAGTACTCAGTGTAGCTGTTCCCTGTAGTTCTTCAGCAAAGAGAGAGAAAGTTGATGGGTAGGTGGATGCGAGTCACTAAAGGTGTATAGGTTTGTACCTTGACCTTTGATGCACAGGCACTTTTGTTTTCTCTGTAGGAATGGTTCACTTGAATTTGAAAGACCACTAGTGATAAGGAAGAATTATTTGACCTCAGTTCCATTTCTAGCTATGTAATGGTACTTCACTTAATTGTCTCAGACTTAAGCTACCCATCTGAAGGGGAAAGCCAGGCAATTCATATAGACTGTAACCCCTATTCATTGCATAACAGCAGTCATGTCACTGATTGCTTTTCAGCTTATAGCCTTGCCTTGCAGAGCAGCTGGGTGGACTGGCCTAAAATATCTCAACAAGGAAAGCATGGGCTTCCATTAAAGTTACTTGAATTATTTTATGTTTAAAGACTCATCTATACCTTTGACAGAATAGTGTACTAAAAAGTTTTTTTTCCTGCTTTGAGGTCAAGGTTTGTTTGTGCTTTTTCCACACATGCTCTGAGTTGCAGTGTTTGAACAAAAATTGGGCATGTAGATTCTTTTTTTTTTTTAAGATTTATTTATGCATACAAAACTGAGGTACAGGCCAGATGTGCAGGGGCAGTGAGAGTCTTCACCAGAGACAGAGTGGGGAGCAGAACAGGCCGACTGATGAAGTATACTGCTGAGAGGAGCAGTGGGCAGCTCAGGAGAGGTCTGCCGCGCCGTGTGTATCACCTCTGTGGCAGGCAGGGATCGAACTCATGCAGAAGTGGCTTTAGCTTAGTGCTGTGCTTTAATCCGCTGCACCACCAGGGAGGGCCGCACGTAGATCCTTAGTGGTATTCTGGATTTAGTGTTTTGTGGCGGTCAGTGTTCTATTCAGGCTCCAGGTCACAGTAGGATTTAGTAACACGTCCTCATTGTCACTCTTGTGAAAAATCCTGCTAACCTGCTTTCCATTTTATACTTACATTTTTCAGTTCTCACTCCTAAACTAAGATAGGCCATACTCTCCTCAGAATAAGCTAAGTTGTAGAGTTCCAGTTACACCTATATGAAAATTCATTTTTCTGAGAAATTATATGGAGTGGAATTCTTAAAAATTGCACATATTTAAAAAAGAAGTTTTATTATCTTCTTGATCTCTTGTTTTTACATCCTGATAGAGTTAGAAGAATTACTGTATACATGAAACACATAAATTCTTCTTTAGTTATAAGACCCTAGCCTTGTTAAATAACCATTGATTTATTCAACAAATGTTTATTGATATCATCATTGTGCTAGGTATTATTCTTCCCACTCATTTAATCCCCATAGAAAGTCATTAATTATGTTTATGCCTAATGGAGTTTCACTGGATTAATTTGGCCTCTAATTTTACTGTAGAGCTAATCGACTTCTTTGGGATGCCCAGCCTTATTTGCCTAGCTAGTGGATGGGGAAAGCTTCCTCATCTGTGCTTTGGGAGCCCTAAATTCCTCATGATGAGTAGTGTCTTAGGGAAGTCATAAAAGAGGGTTGTTGCTTAAAAAAAAAAAAAAAAAAAAAAAAACCAACCTAACCAAACAAAACCATGAATCAAAAACACTGTCAGTGTCTACAGTGCCTCCTACCTAACATTCTCCCCCAGTTACTGTCATCACTACCTAGGCAAGATTCCATCCAATCCACTCTCTTCTGCACAGGTGCCCCCACGTTTTAATTTACCTGTGATTGTCGCTGCTTATCAGAGTTGCTTTTAATTTTTTCTGTTGTCTTTATTTCACCCCTTTCAAAAGTTATAGGACATAGTATACCTACCTGAGGAAGAAATCTACAGGATTAGAGAGGAAACGTTTCTGTTTGAGAGAGCTTATTTACTAAGAAATAGTCTAAAGGTGTCCTCTTAGCTAGTCACTCTACAATGCTAATAAAAGGAGGATGATATATCAGACTTCCTCTTGGAAAAGATGAGACTCTGGAATAGACGAAGCTTATAAGCTCTTGGGTAATAATATATTTTAGTTCCACAAACATGCTAATGCCTGCTTCTCTTGGATTTTGACTCTTAGAAGCTGAAACACACTGAGAGTGACAAGCTGCAGGTACAGATTCAGGCTTATTTGGACAATGTGTTTGACGTGGGGGCTCTGCTGGAAGATGCTGAAACCAAGAATGCAGCATTGGAAAGGGTGGAAGAACTGGAAGAAAACATCTCTCATGTAATTACATCGCACAAGAAGAAAAATTTCTAATTTTTTTTTTTTACTGGGTGCAAAGCAGAATTGACTTTAGTTTTTATAGCAGTAAATGAATGGAGTTTGAGTGCAGGGGTGAGCTACAATTTGAGATAGTTACCAGAGTCATAAGATTCTTTCCAAGAAGGCAATATATGACTTAAAACTAAATGGTATCTGCTGTATTACCTTAGCTTTTCTTCTCATTTTCTGCTGAGTCCAGAGCTCCTGGCCATCTTACTTACATAGTAGAGTCAGATGATTGGTATTATTAGAGGAAATTTTCAAAGCTCAAATGAGATCTTATAATATTTTCAGTGTGTGAATTTGGTTCCAAGTAAATATGTATTTTTTTTTTGAATCAGAGTTGTTATCTACCAAACGTGCCCACAGACACCCGAGCAGAATGATCTAATGTCTTGTTGATGCCGTTCTGCACACACCTGCCTATGGTTGCCTATCTTCTTAAAAGATTTATTTCAACAAAAGATATTTTCAAGAAAATCAGCAAGCTTTCCCATATCTCATCTTCAGGAAAGGTGCCCTGTCAGTTTAATGTCAACTCTGTATGAAAGCAGGGGCTTGTTTTTCTTGGAGGGATTTTTCTTTCCACAGACCAACTTGAATATGAGTCAGAGGCGTTTAGAGGCTGTTCACTAGTTCATCTATTGAAAATTATGTATATGTTGCAAGAGTGAAAAGAGTAGTGTTTCACTACACCCAAGCATATGAGAACTGATTTCTTTTGATGAATTCCAATTGTGCCCTTGATTGTGAAATGATTTATCTCTGAAGGGATATTATTTTTCCCTTTTGAAAATTTCATTAATTTTCTTAATTAAGAGAATTGGGATGCTTTTTGTTGCTTCCCTTCCCCACTACTTTGAAGTCATCTTTATGACTTGAGGTTCAGCCAAGTTGGAGAACCAAATCCTTCCCCTTTATAATTGATATAGTGACGCACTTGACACCTGCTAATGAAGAGCAGTATCTTAAGTATTCTCTTCTAAACACAACTAGCAGAAGTCTCCACTCTTCTTCCTTATCTTGCTGCCTGACTATTTTCAGTGAGATGTGAAAAATCAGAAGTTGTTCAAATTGGTGTAGAGTTGTTCCCATGTTATATTCACATTGTTATGTGGAAAAGAAACCAGCATATCATTCAGCCTCTTTCTCTTGAAGCTTTAGCAGCAAACTTGCGATGTAGTTATACGTACATAACCCACTTTCGTAGCAGGCCACCTGTTTATTTGAACTGCCTTCCAGAGTGATTTATTTGGGTAGTTTGGGTCAAACAAGAACAGTATTTTTTTCAGTAGGCTACCCATAGAAACAGAACCAAACTTACTAGACCAACAGTTTCAAGCTTTTGCCTGATGGACCTTTCTTAGGGAGAGAAAGGTAGGCTTCCTTTCTTTCACACCGTCTGTTTTCCACTCTTGCTAGCTCTTGCAGAAATGAAGAGTCACATTCTGTGTGTGAAAACACTAAGGGACTGATATACAGGTTTTGTTGAAGTTCCTGTATAAATTATTAAATCCTCTTAAAAACAGCATTTATTCAGAAGCCATATTATAACAGTTCTAGAAAGCAACTTGCAGAACACATGTAGGACTCTGATAGCCCCTAATGGTCTTTGAGACTATTTTCTGAGAACCATGAAGCTGACCATATTGATCCCATGTTGTGACATAGCTTCCCTTTCAAAACTTTACAGTTGTCTGAAAAACTGCAAGATACAGAGAATGAAGCCATGTCAAAGATTGTGGAACTGGAAAAACAGCTCATGCAGAGGAACAAGGAGCTGGATGTTGTTCGAGTAAGTGTGACCTGACAGATGCCCCAGATGGGCCTCACAGGGCAGTGCTCCCTGTCAGTCAAGGAGAGCACAGAACATGTTCATGTCAGAACAGAGCATCGATGCAGCCTCTTTGTGGAACCACATTAGAGATGATACTCAGATGAAAAGTACATACATATACACACACACACATATTGGGTGCCATGAAATTTTGAAACTTCACGATTTTCTTATCACAGCTTTTGGGAACAATAATAGTTTTCCCATCTGCATGTGTCAGGGTTTATTCTGTGGATCACCCATTTTGTTGAAAATCAAAACCGCATGGATTTAATTCATACTACTTATTTATTTTTATTAAGACTTCAGCTTCTTTGTATTTTTTTGCTTTGCTTCTGCTTGAAACCAGATTTGGTAGTTGCCATGGAAATGGTGGAATCTCAGTACAGGGGAGACCTAAGGGCATGCACCCAAAAAAAAAAAAAAAAAAAACCCAGAAAAAACCAAAACAAACAAACAAAAAGGGGGTGGGGTGGGGGAAGGGGTAAAGCAAAACCAGTTTGCTTTATTATTCCAAGATCCTGGATACTTTAGTTGCCTTAGCATTGTTTTACCTTAAGTGTCAGGTATTTATGGAGTGCCATCCATCAATGTGCATGGAGTGGCATAGAGCGGCATAGAACAGAAAAGCAGCAGAGTGCCTAGGGCAGTTGGAGCAAATGGCTTGCCTTTACACCATTGTTAATGAAATGGCTTGCTTTATGTGATGGTTATCATGTCTCTGTGTGTTGCTTGATATTCTGACATGTCCTATAGTTAACTCTAGGAAATTTACTTTCTGGCATGCCAGTGAGTCAAAATTGTAGCATATGGACTCAATTCAAGTTCAGACTCTTAGATTATTAATACTAGACAGGGTGTGAAGAATGTTTCCCTGCCTCCTGGTGGTTTGTGGTGAGAGATCACATGTACAAGGCCCGGTAAGTGAGTTCCATAAAACCTTTTCGTTGGAACCTCTGTGGGCCCCTGCTAAAAGGAACCAGGACAGCCTTTGAATTGAAAATTATAACTTCTTTGTTTCCTGCTAAAAACCCAGACAGAAATAAGTAATTAGTGGAATGAAGCATTGGCCTGTTTTGTTAATTGCATTACTGAAGGGAATATATTACAATCACTGTCCCAAGCTTGATCAAGGGGCATTGTCAGGGCCTGAGTAATCTATTCTAGAACAATCAGGCTCTGGTTATTCAAGAGTAGATTATTCCATCTTTGCAGATTTTTAATCCCAGGGTGCCTTCTCCCCAAATATGACTTAGAACCTTTTTGTCTACTTTCATTTGATATGTAGCTAGGAGTTACAAATGCCTTTCACAATAAATGATAGTAATACTTGCCACACCACCAGAATACTCTCAGCATATTCCAACATAAGCTATAAAATTATTTTTTGGGGTCATCTCTGCCCATCCCTCTCTATCTGCAGGGAAAATTGAGTTAACCAACTTAATGGAAAGAACTACATTAACAACAAAAATGTCAGCATATTACATGCATTATCAGTGAGTATTTGATAATTAATGGGACTTAATAGTTCTGGCTGAGTTCCATAAAATTTCTATTTATGTGAATATTTCTATTCCTATTCTAGTGTTGTTGTTCTTTTTTTTTTTTTTTTTAAATATTTATTTGTACATACAGAACTGGGGTACAGGCCAGAGGCTCAGGGGCGGTGAGAGGATTCACCAGAGACAGTGGGGAGCAGAACAGGCAGATGGACGAAGTACACTGCTGAGGGGAGCAGCGGGCGGGTCAGGAGAGGTCTGCCGCGCCATGTGGTCACCTCCGGGGGGGGCAGGCAGGGATCGAACTCATGCGGAAGTGGCTTCAGCTTCTCAGTGTGGTGCTTTAACCCGCTGCGCCACCAGGGAGGGCCTGTTGTTTTTTTTAATCCTCCATTATTGTCTGATGGTAATATACACAAATGTCATGGGAAAACAAACTCTTGACTATGACTCTTCCTTAGGAAATCTACAAAGATGCAAATACACAGGTTCATACACTAAGGAAAATGGTCAAGGAAAAAGAAGAAGCCATTCAAAGACAGTCAACCCTGGAAAAGAAGATTCATGAACTGGAGAAACAAGGAACCATTAAAATTCAGAAGAAGGGGGATGGGGACATTGCCATCCTGCCAGTTGTGGCTTCTGGCACGTTGTCCACGGGGTCAGAGGTGGCTGTGGGTAACTGTGTGGGACCAGTAGCAGGGGCTGCCTCCTCAGGATCCTTGCCTCCTCCTCCCCCACCACTGCCTCTGTCTTCAGATGCACCTGAAGCAGGTGAGAAGATTCTGAGTTGGTATTCGGCTATTTTTACCTCTTTGACCCGATCTCCAGTCATGTCCTTTGCCTGAATTTGTTGTCATGTTCTTTTATTAATTGATTTTAAGAACTTTTGCTTCTTGAGGTTAAGATGATAAACCTTCACTATGAATCATATATGTTGCAGTATAGTCCCCATTTGTCTATGAGAAAATCTTAGCGTTTGAAAAGAATCCTTTGTCCTTTTCAGTGTTTTATATGTACAGACTTTCGGTGCATGTGACATATTGCAGGAAAAACCATTTCCATTTTCAAAGCAGTGTGTTTCTTCTCTTTGCTAGTGCAAAATGGTCCAGTAACACCACCGATGCCGCCACCTCCACCTCCCCCACCACCCCCACCACCCCCACCTCCTCCACCACCTCCTCCTCTCCCTGGTCCTGCAGCTGAGACTTTACCAGCACCTCCTTTGCCACCCCCTCCTCCTCCCTCCGCACCCCCACTGCCAGGAACATCTTCGCCCACAGTAGTTTTCAACTCAGGATTAGCAGGTAAGAGCATAACTTAAAATCCTGGTACTTATGTAACAAAAATACTTTTCTTACTTCAGAAGGCTTAAAGCCATTTTTTGAACGTCTAGGTCTCATGCAATCTTGTGCTTGTTTGTAATATCCCTGTAAATGTAGCAACAAAGGAGAATTTGTCATGTACAGTAGACATTTTCCTCTGAGAAGGCCTTGTCCACTCTTGCTGCCAGGAGGTTCTGATCTCACACTGTCTTCCTACTTACAGAAGGAAGAGAGAGGTTTCCTGCTTAGGAATCAAGATATGTTCTGGACATCTATAGTAGTCAAGGCTTTCACACAGAGTGCTTCTGACTTTTTTGGGGAAGCTTTTGGGATGTTACTGCTTAAGGAGGAAACCTCCTTCCTTCCTGTGGAATTACCTGCTTTAGGCTTCTAGGCATTTCCTCTGAATGTTTGAAGACATCAGAATTCACTGCAGTGGAATTTTTCTTCAAGGGCAAATTTAATCAAGTGCAGTATCTCCAGCCAGTAGTTAATACATGTTCTCCTGCTAAGCAGGAGATAGATTGCTGCATCCTTACCTCACGGGAACTACAATGCAGTAGGTGTGGTATGAGAGGAAGAGAGTTGTTCAGATGTCTTGAAATACTAAGTTCTTTATTTTTGACTCATGGAAATGAAGTTTGACTCTCTTCTAAAATCCTTCAAGCCACCATTGCAGTCTTGGAGTGCTTTCCTGGAGTCTGGAATTGCTCCAAGCTTTGCCATGCCATTTCTGAGACACTGGCTAATTCTGTTTCCTCCATGCAGGCTCTGCTTGAGGTCTCATTTCCAGTGAAGAGGTACCGTGCCAGTAGTTTCCATTTTCAAGGCTGCAGTAGCTCAGAGCCTTTTCCTCCAAAGTCTGAAAATCAGTCTTCGTTTTACAGCCTTTCTCAGCTTCATCCCTTTGAGTATCCCATTAGCTGCTCCAGTATTAGGGATAATTCATCTCCATGACTGAAGCTCTTTTCTGCCCAGAAAGCCATCTTCACTTAATATCCACATCAAATCTGAGGCTTTTACATCCACCCCAATTTCTATAAAACTGTCAAAGAAACTAGCAAGGTACCATTCGAAGTATTGTTCACTGTAAAAACAGTGACTTATTTCTAACTTACAAGGTTTCCTTCATCTACCACTGGCTTCTGGAACTTGTAATGCTTTGGAAGTATAAAGTTGAGTGTCATTTTGTGGGGCTGTTGGAATTTGGAATATAAACAAACAAAAAAACTCTTTTAAGAAACCCCAAAAATGTGTTCTGTCAACAGGCTGTTTTTAGTGACTAGGTGTGAAAATCAGTCATTGTCCCAAGCACTGGACTCATTAATGAGATTTTCCTTTCTGGCCCCTTAGACATGTCCACTATGGTGTGTGTCAAGTCTGGTTCTGCTTCCTTTCTCTCAGGCACAATCTAATATATCATTCACCACCCACCTTCTTCACTGAGCCTTACCATGGAGTGGGGCCTAGTCAGGGAGAGGGAGGGGCTAGATGTGTAGGGCCTGGGTTCCCTTCTGAAGGCATTTTGTCCAGTCTGCTTTTTTTTTGTCCTGGCCTCCTCTACTTTAACAAGTTAATTGGTTCTGTGGCTTATTCACTTTTATAGTGTAGAATCCCATTTTCAGTTGATCACTCACTGCTTCCTCCAGGGTGCTGCACTGGCAAGTCATTCCCTTTGTGACTTAGGCAAGTCAAAGGGCTGTATGTGGTACTGAAGAACCTCCTCTTCAGTATCCATTAGTTACAAGATACTTTGTTTTGCAACATAGAAGGGTTACAAGGTCCTTGTGAGTCTTTGATAGCTTGAGATCAGGCCATTTCTTCACAGCCTTTAATCTTCATTACTCATCTTTAATTTGACTGTAAACACTTCGTGGTTGTAACCCATTTTATGAGATGTTTTGCAAGTGTGTTCAGTAACTGTCTCTCTATGGAACAAGCAGCCAGACAGAATCAGTATGTCCCAGTACAGCCAAGAGGCAGAGGTGAGATGCTATTGCAAGGCCTCTGGGAAGTCAGAAACCTGTGATGTCGACAGGCCGTTGAATCTGCTGGCAATAGAATGAGCAACAGCAGAGATTGAGTGCAGTGTGTTCTTGGGGCCTGAGACAGGGTCCAGGAGAAGGTCTCCTAACTTGATCTATTTGAACATGTTCTTTGCATTTTATAGAGGAAAGATCAGTAATGAAATGGGCATTTGAGTGATAATGCTTACCCCCTCCAACCTGTGATAGACTGGGTCTAACTGCCCTTCCCGGCTAGGTCATCTGTGAATATTGGGCATTCTGCTGTCTTTTGTGGAGACTGTGCTTTGGGACTTCACAGTGGGGATTTGAACATGGTCTGATTCTTTTTTATTAAAAAATTGTTCAGATTGTATAGAGTATCCAACAAAGTTTTATATGGCTGTTTGGAATGACTCTAATAATACCAGGTTTTTTTTTTTCTTCCCCTCTTCTGAAAAGTATTATTAAAAATATAATGTAAAGTGAGTCTTCAAGGCAGGCATAAATGGAAATCGATTTTTGGCTCTGTGCTGCCTGGTGAAATGTGTTCGAGAAGCATGAAATTCTACGTTAAGCATGCGTGAACTGCTGAGCCACTTAATCTAACCATGTCTAATTTTTCTTATTGTATTTCCTCTGTTTTTTTTCTGCTTCCTTAAAAGATGGGCCCATCAAGCTTTTCTGTAGGTGGCTCCTCACTGAGTGTGCTGCATATTTGCCATGTGTCCTTGTTGGTCACATTGTATTCTGACATCTTTCTACTCCACCTTACCCTGAATTCATTGCATTTTGAGTTGGTGTCTGGGAAGTCATGGTGTTGGCTGACTGTTACTCCAGGTTTGCCCACACATTTTAGTTGAAAGTGTAGAAGAGACTAGGACCCTTGCAGCAGACATCTTGGATTCCATACATCACACTAATTTCCACTTGGGAAAAGGAGAGTTTGTTTCTTTTAATTTTATCATTGGATTTAAAGCCTGGACTCCAGAAAGAGTTTCAGTTTATTCTGAGGGAAATGGGCGAGTTCCTCCACAAAGCAAGGAGTAGCTATTGATACTCCCTCTCTGTCCCCTTCTGCTGGACAGAGGACACATATGCCCAAAGCCGCCATTTAGCCTGAACATGCTATCCTCTCCTCCTCATGCCCACTCCTCCTCTCCAGTTAGTCAGAAAAATCTTTCCAAAGAGAACTTTCCTGCCTGTGCTCTCATTATACTAATTTTCCTAAAGACCTAAAAGTAGGAGGATTACACATGGCATGACTTCTGGTGACCTGAAGCTTGCAGGGTTTGCTGAGAGATAGGGAACAAATGGCACTGAGCCATCACCTCAAATCATGAAAAGATTACTGCACAGTTTTCCTGCAACATTGCTGCAGTATCATGCCTTTGTCCCTCTGAGGACATGGGTTTTTCTAGGCAGAATAGACAAAAGGTCAATGTAATGGTCTAGCCTACATGCGTGGGAGTGGGGACAGAGGTTTCACATATGGTGGTGGTAGGGCCTGGTTTGGCAAAAGCTGTGTTTCTGTGTTCCTGCATGCTTTTGTGTGGATTGATTGGATGACATTCCTGTTGCTTAAATGGCCTTTGTAACTCTGGAGGAACAAGAGGCACTATTTCCCTTTTTAACTTACTTTCCACTGAAGCAGGCAGCCAGGTAAAAACCCAGGTAATATGTTGAATTTAGTTTGTTCTGCAGTGAAGTTCTTTTTGCTTTGCTAGTGATGGCAAATACTGAAACCCCTGGCAGAGTGGTGGGCATGCTGGTACAGGAAGGTGACCACATATAGCTAAAAGGCTTGGAAAGACTTTTTCTGATATATATTTACTAAATGGAATTTTTCATGAATTACTTTTATTAGCTCATTTATCCAAAATAAGAGGACTTGAAATTCACCCCCCAACTCTACCTCAAAGAGAGAGATCCCCTTCTTTTATACTAAGAGGTATTTTTAATGGGTTCATCAGTGCCATCTAATCACACATGGTTGACTCCCATGGAGAACCTGCTTTTAAAAAACGAGGAGAAGGTACTGTGGTCATTCTTGAAAAGCAATGCAACATCCTGATATTTATAATTATCTCTTCTGCTGTCTGAGATGTTTTCTATTCTAGGCAATTAATAACCTTTAGTCTGCAATAACTATGTGGCCAACCATTATCAAAGTCATTCACAGGAATGTATTACTCTGGCTGAAAGTCAGCCTTCTTGATGCTATATTCCTGGTGGTTTAGACAGTCACTATCTGGAGTCTCTGATCCTCTTTTAAGATTTGTTTGGAATTATGTGTCCTGGAACCAAGAATTCAGGTTGTTACTATTCAGCTCATGCTTGTCCATGTCAAATTAAGTCACACAGATAATCTGCCCTGTCTGCTATTTAATAGTGATGTTAATAATTTTTGTTCCTCAGCACTTTATTTGTTCTCATCCTTGATCTAACTTGCCTGCGTTGGAAAAACAAGTTAATCCTTGACCCTTGGAAAACTTTAACACAAAGTTGTTAAAAGTTGTGTCAATCAACCAAATGATGATCTCAGATTGCTTTGCCCAGAACGGCATGTGATATTTTCCATATTTAAAGACTCTGGGTGCCTCATGCTGGTCTTCCTCCAGTGTTAAAGTGTCATTTGCAAGGACTGTTCTCTGATTGTTAATGAAGGGTCACCTGGTCTTGGTGAGCTCTTTAACTTCATCTATCTGACCTTTATAGCTGTGAAAATTAAGAAGCCAATCAAGACGAAGTTCAGAATGCCAGTTTTTAATTGGGTTGCTCTGAAGCCAAATCAGATCAATGGCACGGTCTTCAATGAAATTGACGATGAACGAATTCTGGAGGTATCTTTCTCTTATTGGTTAGAATTGAGTTACGTTCTCTGTGCAGAGACACCAAAATCTTGATCTGGGAGTTTGAGCAGTTAAGGGCTAGCATATCTAGTATCCTTATGTAAAGAAAATGATGTATTTAAATATCAAAGATTAAAATTGGAAGCAATTTTGTAAGGTTAAAAAAAAGCAACTTGAAAAAGTTCTGTTGAAATGGAATATCTTTGAGTATCTTCAGTGGATACCACAAAACATGTATCAGATATAATCCCTGTCTTTAATTTATTAAAGGGCATAATATTCCTTTGTTGATTTGTAAGTCAATAAATATCTAAGGTTCACTCTCTAGCTGTTGTGATGACTATTTTAGTCTGGGGGTGGTCATCAATGCAGACTCATTATTGGAAGGCCATTAATTGGTTGGAATCAGATTTCAGAACATGCACATCTGTGTATGTGGTGATAGTTGTTTTCTAGATAGGAAGAGAGCAAGCCACAGTCGAAGACAAGTCAAATAGGAAAGCTAGTACATCTAAAAGATGACTTACTCTCTTAAAATTTTTAGGTATAATCCAATTTGCCTGTTTCAAATCTTTCTACTCCAGGATTTAAATGTGGATGAATTTGAGGAAATATTTAAAACAAAAGCCCAAGGTCCTGCTATTGATCTTTCTTCAAGCAAACAGAAGATAACACAAAAGGGATCAAACAAAGTGACATTACTAGAAGCAAATAGAGCCAAAAATCTTGCCATAACTTTAAGGAAAGCTGGAAAGACTGCAGATGAAATATGTAAAGCTATTCATGTGTAAGTTAAGGGCCTCCTGTAAAATTGTGGTAAATTCAGGATGGAAGGAAGTATAAGAAAATTATGACTATATATATGTTCATATATATATGTATGAATAACATATATAGATAACATTTATATACGGGGCAAGATCTAACATAAAGATGAAGCCATTCTTGATATCCACACACCAGTTATTCCCTTTCTTTACTAAGTGCAACTTCAATGCTAAATAAAATGTTACCACTGAAGAGGTGTACCACCAGTGCTATGATAGATTTAGTAATTTATCATTTTAGAAGAGTAACAGCTGGATTGTGACATTTATTATTTTGGCCTGCTTTCTTATCTCGGCCTACAGCAAGACATTAAAAAAAAAAAAGTTGAATGGAGTATTTCAGATGCCAAGAAAAGGGAGGAAATATTAGTTTTCTCTGGAGTATCTGAATTTTATCCAGATTTGTTGCATATAAATGTGATGGCATTTTTGGAATGATACAATTCAATGCCAGATGCAAAATATGATACAGATGCATATTTTAGTTCATAACAATAGGAATGTGATTTCTATTGCTCTTAACACTTTCAGGACATGTTAAGCTAGGTTCAGTTCTATTTTTTTAATTCTTGAACTGGCATTGTTTTTACCTTCCATTTTATGGAAGAATCATTCTTTTGGGGTCAAGGTGACTTTCAGATATTATAAGAGTGTTATTAGATGTTTGGTAATTCTTTGTAAACTATTATTTCATAAAGTTTTGATCACAGATTTTTACAGGAATACTGACCTTGTAAATCATTTGTTCAGTTTTATGTCTTCCACCAGTGTCATAATCTAATAGTCAAGTACCTTAAGAGAATATTCTATTTCTAATGTTGAAACTTGGCATGCATTCTGGTTTTTAATCTTTTTATATTTGTTTGTCATGATGGTGAAACATAGTTGTGTGATTTTGCTGAACAAAACTGTGCAGACAATAAAGTAGAGGTTTATCAAATTGAGCATTCATTTACAAAGACCAGATATGCTTTAAAGGGTGTATGCTAAATTTGAGCAACACCATCCATATAGGCATTTAGGGCATTTTTTCCTAAAGAAAAAATATCCCAGACTTTTGGCTTAATTGAAATAATTTACAGAGTCATTGGGTACTCTGTAATTGTGTGTACAATATTAATTTCTGTAATTAGTATGTTCTTGTGTCACTTAACCATCAGATGTTTGAACCTTCCTTCTGCCTTTTCCTACTATACACATTTGATTTCTGGAGGCTTAGAACCGTACTGAGTAGGCTAGAAGCTGTGTTTGGTGGTTGTGATTGGTCCAGTATTAGTCAGGAGCCAGAGCCACAGGTGTCATAACAATCCAGCTGTAGACATGGTCAACCTACAAGTTTTACCATGGTTCTTCCGGCTTCATGAGCTAGACCAGATGGAGGTGTGGTGAGAGCATATGATGTTTTCTCTCGACACTGACAGGTCCACATCTGTCTTTAGATTCGACTTGAAGACGCTGCCTGTAGACTTTGTAGAATGCCTGATGAGGTTCTTGCCAACTGAAAATGAAGTGAAAGTGCTCCGGCTCTATGAGCGGGAAAGGAAGCCCCTGGAGAATTTGTCAGATGAAGACCGCTTCATGATGCAGTTCAGCAAAATCGAGAGGCTCATGCAGAAAATGACCATCATGGCCTTCATTGGCAACTTTGCTGAAAGTATTCAGATGCTGACACCTGTGAGTGAATTAATTGAGGCAGTTTTTCTTTTAAGGCTCTCCTAGAATTGCACTGGTTATCATTGTTTTTTTTTTTTTTTTTTTAAGTTTTATTTATTTTTGTGAAGAACTGGGTATAGGCCAGAGATCCAGGGGTTGAGCGGATTCATCAGAGACAAAGTGGGAGCAGAATGGGAAATACATTGCTAATACACTGCTAAGGGGAACAGTGGGCAAGACAGGAGAGGTCTGCTGCACCATGTGGTTCATCTCCCTGGCTGGGGAATCGAACTCTGGCTTTAGCAATGATAGCCTGAGGTTTGACCCATAGAGTACTTAGGGAGGCCTGGTGTCATGGTCTTGAAAGACTCTTTTCTAGAACTCTGTAGATTACGTTTTTACTTTGGCGACATTTTTCATCATATGTATGCCAAGTAAATTTGAAAATGGTAAATATATATATGTATATACACACACACACACACACACACTATGTTGCTGCTTTCCCTAGAGAATGCCATTTTCTGTGTCTAGAGATGTCCTTTGCCTTTCAAACAACTCTTCAATATGGGACAGGAGAAATTGTTTTTTCAAATTTTGTCCCCTCCTCAAGATATCATTTTCTGGTTGGATTTGCAAGACTAAAATCATATTTTCATTTTTAAAAGACATCCCGTATCTTTAGTCAACAGGCTTACTGATTTTCACTGGAAGCATTAAATTTACTCTTCCTTGGAAGTTGGTTGCAGCATACCGTGTTGCTGTAGAGATAAAAGCCAACCAGCTCTTTTTTTTCCACTATTCTGATAGGACATTATGCTATCATAATTTTTTTTTTATCAGTTGTTCTATTTCTAAATAAGTTTTTGTTAGTTACTAATTATAATGTCATGTCTGTTCAAAATGGTTCCTAAGAAGACTGGATGGTGATTATATTCCTTTGTTGTTTCATTTTGTTTTCATTCTTGAATTTAAAAATATAAATTGTATGACATAATGAGAAGTTATAGCAGGGAACTTAGTTCTGCTAGAAGATGAACTTAAGTATGTTGTGTTTAGAAATAATGGGATCAGCATTAAAACTTTGAATCCAAATGTTTTTTTCCATGTTTAGTTTTCAATTAGTGTTTCTCACTTTTAACGTCTTTTTTCTTCCCCTTCCTTCCTTTCCCTGGAATCCAGCAACTACACTCGATTATAGCTGCATCTGTTTCAATAAAGTCATCCCAAAAACTCAAGAAAATTCTGGAGGCAAGTGAAATTTTCCTCTTAAACATGTATGGAAGGAGCTGACTAATTAGCTGCATTTCTCTGACTGGGAGCGCCTGGATATTCTACTGATGACCTTCTTTTTTCACAGATCATTTTGGCCCTTGGAAACTATATGAATAGTAGTAAGCGAGGAGCAGTTTATGGATTTAAACTTCAGAGTTTAGATCTGGTGAGTGGACTTAAAGAAACATAAGAACTCTGTGAGGCACAAGGCAGCTGACAAAGATTAAGCCCTGGGGTGGAGAGAATCTGCCCTTGGAATTGGGTGGATGCTCTTCTAGTGGGCGGATCAATTGGTACAAATTTTCTGGAACATCATCTGGCAGCAAGCACTTAGACGCTTAAAAATACTCATGCCCTTTGACCTATGTTTCCATTTCTAGGAATCTTTCCTTGAGAGTCTAAACTATGGCTGTTGTAGTTTATTTATAATTGCAAATAATTAGCAGCAATGTAAAGATTAACATTTTGGGAAGTATGTTTTAACAGTAGTTAACACGGTGCCCTATTCAAGTATGAAAATATTTGTGAAGAGTTTTCAAAGAAATGGGTAAAAAAAAAAAATCAAGTTATAAGTTGCATGTACATAGCATTTATGTCCCACCTTATAGGTGGGACATAAAGATAGAACACAATGGAATGCACTGAATAATAAACAAACTTTAAGACTATAAGAAGAAAACAGTGATAGCAGAAAGGGAAGACGAGGACATAGATAAATTGGGTAGAAGGGGTCATATGGTGAAGGATGGAAACTAGAATTCTGGTGGCAGATGTATGTGTCCATATAGATACTAATTTAAAAAAAAACTGTATATTTGAAACCTATCTTGTGTTATAAAGCAATGCTACTTAAAAAGATCTTAACATTGAGGGGAAAAAAGCCAAATATGAAGAGTGCTATGTGAAGAGTAATTGTGCATGCCTCTAGTCATTTGAAAGTCACTTGAATGTTTTTTGTCCACGGTTGGGGCATCTGTTCTGTGGTTTATTCTGGGTAGGAGAACCTACCCAGAATCCAAGCTAACTTTGTTCCCTTTGTCTTCAGCTTTTAGATACAAAGTCAACAGACCGGAAACAAACACTGTTGCACTATATATCAAATGTTGTAAAAGAAAAATATCACCAAGTGTCTCTATTTTATAATGAGCTTCATTATGTGGAGAAAGCTGCTGCAGGTACTTGATTTCAACAATTAATGCTTCTCTGGGGCATTGAATAATCTTGGGGGAACCATCCCTCCTTATATAAACACTCTTAAGCACCCCTTGAACAAGGCAAGTCTGAAATGACAGAAGCTCTGAGCTGGAATACTTCAGCTATGACATTGCTCACTGTTGAGAATAGTAACTAACATGAACACAAAGGTGACTTCTCTGTCAAGATGTCCTCTCTTGCACCTCCCTTCCTTACCCTTGGTATTTCACTGTTTGGAATATGAGAATCAAAGAATCACCCACACATACACACGTGGACACACGTCTTGAATATGATTTAATGTTGTTCCGCTTGCTCAGGTATGGCTTCTCTGAATAGATAATTTTAGCTTGAATATAAGTTATCACTACTTCTTGGTTGTTACTTTGATGTGATAGTTACATTCTCATTTAAATCATCATTAACTCTGAGATAGTGGCCTATACTAAGTAGTAGTATCTGAAAGTTATAGGTGAGAAAACTGACATTTTTAGAAATTAAATGTCTTGCTCCCCAAAGTCAAATGGGTATAAAGTGATAGAAACAGGCATGGAACCTAGGTTTTCTCCTAAGATAGTGTTTCATCCAACGTACCATGTTCTGTCAAGTAGTAGGAAGTTAGTAGAAGGAACGACATACACACTGACCTCAGGATTGGTTGTATGTTGTGATTCCCACATTGTGACGTAGAACCATGAGCAGCCATGATGTTCTATAAATGCCTAATCCTAAAGCCTATCTCAGCTTTGCTGAATCTAATGTTTGAGGGCAAGACTTTCTCTTACTGCTTTAGACAATAAATGGTTGCTGTTCCTATGTTTTACTAAAAAACACTTTGTGGTAAAAAACACTTTGTATTATATCACAAACAAGATTTATCACATTTTCTTGTAAAAATTTGCTTGGTACTTATGCTACCTGTGCACTTATTGTTAGTCAAGTTTTATTTATATTTGTAATTCTCTCAGCCCCTAGCAAATTGATGGTGGGAATAAGTGAATGAGCGAATGAGTGAATGACATGATGTAGCTCTTGGAATAGATGTGCCACTGAAGGCCGAGTGGAGACTAAGAGGCAGCTGAAATGGTATTTGAAGAACTGTGCAATGGAGAATGTGACTATGTAAAGAAGGCTCGGGTTTGCTCAGGCTGTTACTGGATTTCTGTTTTCTTTCAAGTTTTCCTCTCCCTCACTTGAGATTTCTTTTAGCATCACAATTTTAATGAAGAAAAAAAAATTAAATTCCTGCCTTAACTACAGTTAGCACATTCTTTGTGGCCTAAATGAGACTACATTAAGGTCAGTTGAGTTCAATTGTGCTCAGGTGCCCGGGCAATCAGGCTCACTGACATTTTTATAATTTCACTAATTTATTCTCTCACTTATCTCTCCTTTATCTAGTGAACCCTTCTGAGTGCCTGCTGTGTACTTAGTACTGCCCTAAGCACTGAGGAGTCAAAGGTGAATAAGGCAGTATTTAGTGAGGAGAAGACATCCCACATCACTCTGTAATTCATCTTTGTGCAGTGATGAGTCAGGCTGTGGGGAGTAAGAGGTGGGGCCTGACCTCTGTGGGAAGCTGGCTCAGGAGGCTGCAGGAGGGAGCCTGCTCTGTATGGGTAGTCACTCAACACATGGAGAGGTTCATGCTAATAAACCCTTCTGAAGCTGGGAAACAGCACAGGAAGCTGTCCAAAGTTGCTCTGGGTCCTGGTGGGCAGGACTGCTCAAGTTCAATAGATAAAATACTTCCCCCTGCTGGAAAACCACAGAAATGCAAAAGATCTTAAAAAAAAAAAAAAAAAGTAGGTAGGGTAACCTCTTAGGTCCTTCACAGATAAGGAACCTATGATCCTATAGGCCAACCTATAAAATGGCATTATCTGTAAGAGAAGAACAAAGTGGGGATTGACCACAATGGACTGTGGTGATGGGCTATGGGTATTTTTGTGGTGGCTGTGGTGTAGTAATAATACCTAGAGACTTACTTCTAAGCCACAAAAAACATTGTGGACCAGTGTTCCCTCAATAAATAAATTAAAATTAAAAACAACAGCAACAGAAAATTGGAATGAATATTTGGGTAATAGCACATAATTTGGAGTCACTATTACCTGAACAACTTGTCTGCGAATTCCGAGCTCTGTGGCCCAGGGCAGACCATACAGCCTCTTTATGCTGTTCTCCTCATTGGTAATGTGGCTGATGGTGCCAGTGAGTTAGCGCATATGAAGAATGAAATGTGGCACTTGGCCATGTGCATGTAGTCACTTATTCATATTAAGGATCTGTACACTGGAAGCCAGAACATTCTGAGGCTCGCCATTATCCCTAAGAACCTCCTGGAAACAACTTACTGTCATATTTAATGTATTTTTGATGCTCATAGGAACATTGCTTTCTCTACTTTAGTCTCCCTTGAGAACGTTTTACTGGATGTCAAGGAGCTCCAGCGGGGCATGGACTTGACCAAGAGGGAGTACACCATGCATGACCACAACACGCTGTTGAAAGAGTTCATCCTCAACAATGAAGGGAAGCTGAAGAAGCTGCAGGATGATGCCAAGATTGCTCAGGTATACTTCTGTGCCCTTTGACACCCAGGGAGAGGAAATGATTGGAGCCTGAAGGCTTCTAGGGCTCTGGCGCTGGTGTTGGGGGAAGGTTGTGCTTTGTCTGATGGAAGTAGAATCCTTGTATAGCACATGGTTATTGCAGGGGATCTTCCTGAATTTTGTACTTGGAAGGGTTCTGCCTATTCACTGTCCTAACGTTAGGTCTTCACCATCTTCTCTGGAGGCCGCCTACCCTGTTCCACTCCACTTCTAAGAGTCCTCTCTGTGAGTCCTGTATTTGATTCAGTCAGGCCTGTGCATTGTGTTTCTGTAGGCCTTTACCTTAAATCCTTACACTGTACCAGAAGTCAAGTGTACATACTTGCATATAGCTGCAATCACAAAGAAGGGTGGAGGGCAGAGTGGCGGTGTGGGAACCTAGAGAGTGGATGTGGTGGAGTGGGTCCCATTTGAGACTGGCTATCTTGTGTCACAGAAGAGTTCACACTGAGACCTGAATGCCCTCAGTGTGGGGCTATTGTCAGGAGCATTGTTGCAGTGAGTTGAGTTTTAGCCTCTAAAGATCCCTTTGACCTTACTGGTTTTGAAGAGTTCTGTCACTACACTAGGAAGCTCCTGAAAGGCGTGTGTGTGTGTGTGTGTGTGTGTGTGTGTGTGTGCGTGTGCATGTGTCTGTCTGGAAGTGGCAGTATCAGAGGGTCTCTGCACTGCTGCTGCATTCTTCTGATTGCTTCTGACTGATCGTGGGGGAAAGAGAGTACAGAGTTGAGGGGAGGGGAAGGAGGATCAAGGAGAGAGAATGTTAAGAGCTGCTGTGTTGTCACTGCTGCTTTGTTGCAGCTCTTTCCTCAGAGCATCAAGTTCAAATGTTGAAACTAATGAAATTCAAGAGAAATATGCTTCCTCACAGGATGCCTTTGATGATGTTGTGAAGTATTTTGGAGAAAACCCCAAGACGACACCACCCTCTGTCTTCTTTCCTGTGTTTGTCCGGTTTGTGAAAGCCTACAAGGTAAACAGGAGCCTTGGTGCCTTCCCTGGCATTGTTTCTCAAGTGGGTGCCTTCCTCAAACCTTTCTGCAGAGGCCTCAAACCTTTCTGCAGAGGCCTCCCCTTTTCTGTGGGCAATGCATCTGGATGGTCAGTCTCTGACCTTGCCACGTCTCTTAGCTCATGATGTTCCTTGTATCCACTGGGCCACTTTGGGACCTCAGTACAAGGAACTTCCCCCTGAGGAAGTGAGATGCTTAAAGACCACTGCTGCCCTACTGACTGACCTTGCAGGCAAGGTGGACTAGGAAATCCAGGCCTTCCAAGGGATAGTTTAACCTGTAAAAGGAGTGGACTCCTGCCTGTGGCTGCCTGGGACGTAGCGCAGGTCAGGCTGAGCCTGCTTACGTTAGTCCTAGTTGAGGCCTGCAGGTTGTTTGGGTCAGTGTCCATCATTGATGCTGGGGATGCTAGTAAGGAAGGTTGTCCTCTCTTTGCTCATCTGTCCAGTTATGACCCACACTTTATAGGAGAGAGTCTCTTTAATGTTCTCCAGGGCCCCGGTCTAGAAAAAGCATGTGACTCAAAGATGTATGTGTCAGAAGAATTTGTCCTTTCAGAGAGAAGGAAGAGGGAGATGAGAGGGTGGGGAGGATTTTAGTACACGCAATCTGTATCTGTATCCTCCAGGCTTATCTACTTGCAACATTGGTAATGTTGTAGGAAAGTGAAGTGTGATTCTTGAGGGGGGGGATTTGGGGGCTGGTAGGTCACATTTACACTTTTGAGAAACATTAACAGTTGGTCACTTGTCCTTGTGCACCACTGGAAGCTGGTAGCTTGTACTGAAACTCAGAAAGTGATGTAGCCATTTCGCCCACTATGACTCAGTGTAACAGTGATATCACAAACTGTTTGTAGAAGGAAAGTACCCTTGGCTGTGAGGATGAATATGAATGTAAACTCAGCACAAGGCTGTGTGTGGTACACTGGGCACTTTGGAGACCGAAGGTCATTGCTCCTGCTGCACTTCAGGGCTCCTTGACTGGCAATGTTTGTGTGCTGAAGAGATGATCTGTGGTATTTCTTGTTAAGTGGGGACTGCAGTTCTTATGTAAAAAATGTCGAAGTTTAAGGTCTAAAGAAAATAATACATGCTATTTTTGAATTGTGAAATGTAAGCTGTGAAGTGTCTCTGTGAAGTCCACTCCCAGTACTAATGCAAGGGTGTGTATAGTGCACAGGAGAAAGTGTGGAGGCCCGGGGTGATCCGTGGCATGCCACTTACTGGTTACACCATCAGTGTCTCTCCCACATTGTCATTTCTCCCTGTGGTCCTATTAGCAGGCTTTCTGAGGCACTTGTCAGATAGGGTTGTTTTCCTTGTGACCAATGGAGATCCCAATTGAAACTGACCTCTGACCTGTGCACTTTGTGGGCAGGTGTTTGGGTTTTAGGGTGTCATCCCTCCTTTTTTTCTTCTCCAGTATGAACCAAATAAACATGTAAGACAAAAGCAACAAATGAGAAAGTGGACTTTGTTCCTGGTAAAGACTGGCTATGAGGATATGATATATCATCTGTGTTTACAGTTCAGCCTAAATTAGTTAGGTGACTTGTTATTTCACAGCTAGACTATTATAAATCTCTTTAGGGAGGCTGACTTCAAAAGAGAGAATCCCAAAAGTCTGAGCTATTCAACTTCTCCAAAATTCATTAGACTAATGAGGACACTCTGCTTTCCTTGGGAAGGAATGAGCTGTGGGAAGAGTCTAGGAGTGTTGGCTCGTGAGGCCCCTGAAAAATACATTCGGAATGAAATTAGAGGCTTTCCTTCAACAAGGGGCAAATGAAGAGAGCTGTGAGATCCTACTTTTCAGAGGCTGGCCAGTGGGAAGACAAATTCTGGAAACAAACTCACAGGAAAATCATTGAGAGCTGCCAGAAGCATAAGTCCCATCATCTCATGGGACTAAAATGCAGTTTGAGTTGAAAGAGGGTCACCAAGAAAGGACTTACAAAATACATTTCAACTACTATACTCTGAAAAGATATGATATGGGCAGACAATCAAACTCCAAGTCAGAGTTAAATATAGGCATGAATTACACATCCCTTCTATTTATTTTAAGACCTGGTTTACCAGGGATTCTCTAAGAGAGACTTTCAAGCATCTTGACTGTTGTCATTTAATATTGACATAATCTTTTGGTTTTATCTAGCAAGCAGAAGAGGAAAATGAGCTGAGAAAGAAGCAGGAACAAGCTCTCATGGAAAAACTCCTGGAGCAGGAAGCACTGATGGAGCAACAGGACCCAAAGGTAAGAAGTGCCAATCCGGCTTCTGCGATGGTCCTCTTGTAAAGGGGAGGCCATGCTGGCTCCTCAGAGGCATGCAGGGTGATGAGTCAAGAAGCCAGATTTGCACAGAGCCCTTACCATTTCCTTTCAGCACTTTGGAAACTTGGCAAATGGAAACGTGTTCATTTATTACTTTGTTCAGCACCCAGTGAGATGAAGCTGAATATATTTGTGTAGCATTTCCAAGTTTATGGTGATGTGGAATTTAAATTTTAGTCATATATGAATAGAGATCCCAAACCATGTCACCTGGTGATTGGAGGTGTCAAGGGAAGGCTTCCAGGGTACACCTTGGTGCTGTCCTTGATAGCCTGAGGCTTCATTAGGATCAAGAGTGGTATTTCCAAATCAAAACCACATTCTCACACTAGTGAGAATGGCACATATAAAAAAATTTGGCAACAACGTTGGTGAGAATATGGAGAAAAAGGAACTCTTTCACACAGCTGGTGGGAATGCAAATGAGTACAACCACTATGGAAAACTATTTGGAGATTCCTCAAACTGCTAAAAAAATGGAGCTTCCATTATAACCTAGTAATTCTACTCGTAGAAATTTAACCAAAGGACACAAAATTGTTAATTTGAGAGGAAACCTTAACCTCTGTTTATTGAAGTACTATTTATAATAGATAAGACATGGGATCTACCTAAAGTCCCCAAAATAGCTGAGTGGGTTAAGAAGATGTGGTATATATATACAATGGAATACTATTTAGCAATCAAAAATGATAAATCCATGCCATTTGCAGCAACATGGATGGAACTGGAAGGGACTATGCTCAATAAAAAGAAAAAATACTGAATGGTTTCTCTTAAAGTAGGAGTATAAGGGAAATAAATAAGGGATTGGGGGGAAAAGACAATGCAAACAACTATAACTCGGACACATTCAGCTGGGGAAAGGATGATGAGGGATAAAAACAGGGTTGGGAAGTACACAAGAGATTATGGTGATGGTTCATGGGGTAACTTGGTGGTAGGAATTTTATAGGGACTACACCTGCAAGGACAAATCAAACATTGTACAAAACAATAATGTAAAGTAGATATATGAACAAAAATATATAAATAAAGTAGCATTTCAAGGAGGGAAACATAAGGAAAAGACCACAAAGGCTGTCAGGTGAAAGTATTCTTCATTATGATATCCTTTGCACCAAAGCTTAACAAGAGGATGGTTATTACCAGCTGCACTTGACTTAGGATCCAGCCTTGCCATTGCTGTTAGCTGGAGGTATATGTGTTCTTCAAATTGTTTTCTTTCTAGAAGCTTTCTGAACTTTTTCTGTTTAAATAGAAAGTTAACATGGCACTCTGTGTTTCTGGCTGAGGCTACTAATCAGTAACAAAATGCTCACACATGTTTTGGATTTCTAACCCTCCACAGGATGCTGGTCTACTCAATCTGCATTTTTTTTTTTCTTTTCAGTCTCCTTCCCACAAATCAAAGAGGCAACAGCAAGAATTAATTGCAGAATTAAGAAGGCGACAAGTTAAAGATAACAGACATGTATATGAAGGAAAAGATGGTGCCATTGAAGATATTATCACAGGTAAAAGATACTTCCTCCTTGTGTTCCATGGAGATATCACAGACCTTGCTCACTCTGACTATTTGAAGATTTGGCTGCTTCAGGATTACAAATATTGCAGTTGCTTTAACTCAGATCTAGAATTACAGAAACACTATGCTTGTGTTTGAAGTTTATTTACTGTATACTGTCTCTTAAAGAACTGAAACATTCTCTCTCTGAGAAAAGTCTTATGTTTTCAAATCATTGGATTTCATCAGATTTTTCTCCTAAAGGTTTTCCATTGTTTTCTTCAGTTTGTAACTACATTCCAGTTTCTTCTTTTTGGCTACTCCTAACCACCTGCCTTATTAATTAAAACTCCAGACAAGACCCATTCAAGGGTATGTTCTAATAATCATGACAATGAAGATTTTCCCAACATGCTACTTTAAAGTCTCTTTGCTCAAGCAGAAATCAGCAACTGGTGTTTACATTCAGATAGGCCAACAAACTTCTAGCCAAGATTTGTCTCCCCCCCCCCCCCCCAAACACACACAGCTTGGTTCTTGTGTGATTAAGTTTTAGCTTAATGCTTTCCACTTGAACCAATTCTCTAGAGTTTCTGCATCTCCCCCTTATAAATTAGGACATTAATTTAGGCCACTGTCTTTTGACAATAAGACTTCCCTTTCATGTCTGTTGCATTTGAATACTGTGTGTTAGCTTCTCTGATACTAAAAAGGTTTTATTGTGGGAATTTTTTAAATGTGTGAAAATATAGTACTATAATGAGTTCCATGTATCATTGCCCGACAAAACTTGCAGCTCATAGCCAATTTTGCTATGTGTCTGCTTCTGCCTACTCCCCATTTAACACTACTTGGGATTATTTTGAAAAAAATCCGAAATATGTCAATATGTGTCTTCAGAAAATAAGAACCCTTTAATAAAACCTAACCACACTGCCATTATTACACACACCTCTAAAACTAACAGTTCCTTCATATCAAATACCCAATTATTCTTTACATTTCTCCAATTGACCTAATTTTTAAAAGATCTAGCTCTTAGACTCTTAGACTTTTGGTTTATTTTTTTGCTAATAGCTTAGTAAGCATTATGAAGGATTCCAAGCTGTGGAAGCTACAATATCCGCGCCCCCCCCCCCCCCATACCTAGGCATCCAAGGAAATCATTAAAAAGGAAATGAGTAAAAGTTACTTGCATGGAGGTGAAGCAGGGTAGGTAACTAGTTGATGGAAACCTATCGCTACATACTATACACATGTTTTTTATACACATGTGCCTGCTGGTGTTTCAATGTCTACCATGCAGCATCTTGCAGATGTCTCCCAGATCAGAGCCCCCACTAAAACCTGCCACCTTGGACATGATTAACTGTTCTCCAGCAGCACCTGGCTTAAAGGAGCAAAACAGCTTCTATTTGCTAAATTAATCATTAATCTGTCAGCAGAGGTGAATGACTAATCTAGTTCTGGAACACTTTTTATTCTCCTTGGAGTATTTTCCACGTTCTACCCCAGGATCATGCCCTAGATGGATTAACAACTCTTGTAGACTTTTTGTTTTCACACGGGTATTTATTGCCTTTCCCCTTTCTGCTCCCCTCCCTTCTCAGATTTGTTTAACAAAGCACTAACCATATACTAATGCAGTAGATCTTGGCATTTTACTTTATTCTGTTTGTCTTGTTTGGCTGTCATTTTTGATACAGTGTTGAAGACTGTGCCCTTTACTGCTCGCACCGCCAAGCGTGGCTCTCGATTTTTCTGCGAACCTGTTCTCACTGAGGAATACCATTACTAAACTATTACTCTTTCTCACCTGATGCTCTTAAAAGGTTGCTGTAGATTTTTTGATCTCTTATGTCCCTCTGTGTGTTTGTGAGGGTCACCCAACGTGATAGCATGGAATTGTCCTCTTTGTCATGTTGTATTTTATGTTGCCTTCACACTGCATGCTTTTGCATTTCATTCATTACTGCTACTTTCAGTGTGTTTGTGAATCCATGTGCTAGCAATGCTCTGGGTATGTGTGAATTGAATTAAGAGACTTGTTTGCAGAAATTTTTAGAAAAACAGTATATAGAATAAACACTAACTTGAGAACAGAACTGGACCAGATAGGTTGCTTACAAGATTTGGGGGCTAGTATCTCTGAGCACAAAATGATAGTCATTATTAACAACTACTACACCTAAGAGTGATGGGCACTTACTGTGTTTTAGTAGTTTTTACAGATAGAAAACTAGTCTTCCTTGAGTATACAGTTAACATGCTTGATAATGAGTTGCCACACAAGTGCTCAGGAATGCACAGTGCTCTAAAGTTGCAGAATGATTTTCAGAAGTTAAGTGTGGACTGTGCACAACAGCTGCAGATTGGGTCTTTCTTAACTGACTTCTACAGTCCATAACCATCATCCATGGTGCGATGAAACTCCTGGCATAAGCTTTACATAGAGAGCTCTTTTGACTGAGAAACCTATGTAAGCCAATATGGGCAACTCCTAGCTTTACACTCAGTTCTTTCCTCTGGGTTTCCTGCCTAAGTTTAGCTATCAGCAGTTCTACATTGTGAAGCAGAGAATGCAAACAAAGTCATCAGTGCTCCCAAGTCTTAACCCCTTTATGCTTCTTTATTGGTGCCTGTATTCCATGTCAAACCTGGGGGGGGCGTTCTTCTGTGATGAGCTCATGTCTGGACATGCTCCTTTGGTCAGGATGGTGGTGACAGAAAAACTAATAGCAAATAACTATGGTTGGAAATGCCACTGTGTTTAGAACTTAAAATAAAAAAGAAATGATCAAATTAACTGCCGGAGTTTAGTTCTTGATGGCCAGATAAGGAGCAAAGTTCTCTGCATTGCCAACTTTATTAAAAAAAAAAGGGAAGGACACACTCTAATTGAGAAGTAGCCATTGTTTGACTCCCATTTTAAAATTGACATGGAATTGGGTACATTTTTGTTTTTGTGGCATTGACTCATGAATTGCTTGATTTCAAAGGATGTGGTGTGTTGCCTGCTCTGCAGTTACTTACCCACCAGTGCTTATTAATAAGGCTAGGAACTGTCATCTACTTGGCTTATGTTTACTGTCAGTTTTGCTGCTGGACTATGTGTTGTTCTGGAGCCAAACTTCAAAGCAGCTTGGATCTGGGTGGTCAGGGCACTGGGTGGGAAGACCCGCTCATCCTTCCCTTGTTTTATCTAACACCTCTTATAGTAATGGCCTTCCACTCTCTTCCTCTGTTGGCTAACATGCCCGGGAATGTTAAGCACTAAGTTGAATTGCTTTCCATTTTCATCCCATTTTTGCTTAACCATCATTTTGTGTTTTTTTTTTGTTTTTTTTTCTGTTTAGCCTTAAAGAAGAATAATATCACTAAATTTCCAAATGTTCACTCGAGGGTAAGGATTTCTTCTAGCACACCGGTGGTGGAGGATACACAGAGCTGGCAAGCATCACTTTTTACTTAGCTTCCTCCTCTTTCTGTATGCAGATCAATGGTTTCAATCTATGGCTAAGGGTAATACTGGTGAGAGTCTGACCAGGGAGCAGTCTTTGTACCTCTTATTCTACTGATGTGAGACTGAGTCTCTGTAGGACTCTTTCTGGCCAGCTTTCATGTCCTCAAGTGTGATGGCTTGGGCAAAGAAAATTGAAGATGGACTTGCTTTGGGTGCTAGACTGTCCTTTCCTTGCCCTCTTCTTAGTCCTCAAGTTATTCAGTTAACCCCATTTTGATCTGAAGAAATTGTAAGCAGATCCTAGCCAGGGAACATCTGTTGAAGGGTTAGCATCTTTAGAAGTAATTACTCAGAGGACTCAGGCCTGAGTTGCAGGTGTCTCTATCTTTGGCCCAAAGTGGAATTCTGACATTTCATTACTATTCTGAGTTAAGAAGCAGAAACTGAGAGCATAGGTGTCAATGCTCAGTTTCATCTTGGTTTTTGTCAGATAAGAATGGGTGCCCAGTATTGTTAGATCTTCATTTTCTAAGATTAGTCAGAATACCTGGATTTTGAAATGTTTATCACCTACTGAAATATCAGGAAACTGTATTGAGAAATGTGAGAGGCCAAATTTTCTGTGGGTCAGGTATTACCCATCAATGTAATTTACAGTCTACTGATTGAAAGGTTTCAGTCTAATTGTTTCCCTTTATAAGGGCAGAATGTTTCCTAACAAAAGTCAAACAGTACTGAGTTGGTTAAAGGGAAATATATACTAATTAAATAAGACAAGGGGAAGAAGTCTGCTTTTTTCCTCCACCATGCCCTGATTCCATCAAAAGGCAGCGACATGTTACTCACCAAGAAAGCATGCCTTCATACTCAGAATGCTTGCATAACATTTCCCGATTCCTTCCATTTTACCCCACTAAACAATGCCTGCTGGTGATAGTCTTTCATTCAACAAGTCATATTTTTTTCAGTGTTAGGTATCTGGCTCTGTAGTCACAGTTGCAAATTGGTGAATGCAGGATTCATGACACCTTTAATAAAAAACAAATATTACTAGAATGTAGGGAAAAGTTTAGAAATGATTAGCAATTAGTTTTGAGGTTTGTTTCTAATTCACTAAAAAAGATGACATCAGCTAAGAGTAATGGGATAAAAATGGAATCGGTGTCTACAAACTAAACTTGAGGTTCCTTCCTTATTAAAACTTCAAGCCAAAGATAGGAAAGACCAGTCAGTCTTACTGGTTTTGCAATTTAAAATTCTTTGCGATTAATGACAAGGTTTCTAGACAGGAAATGTAAAAACTAAGCTATAGCTAGTTCCAGTTGAGGAACTTTTCAAAATAAGATATAAGCTAGACTTTCTGGCCAGTGACTGTCCTTTCTTATATATTTTCTGTAAGTCCCAGAAACCCACCAGTATTATATCCTGTTTTGTATGACTGTAAATATTAAGGTCAAAGTACACATCTTTGGCTCAAATACTCAAATTAAAGGGCCCATTAGTTGATTCTTCTCCACAAGCTGCTTTGATTGGCTGCCAGCTGGCCTTTGTCTTGCTTAGACACATAATATTAAAAGTTGCATTTTTCTCATTTGTGCTCTCCTCTTTACAGATCTTAGAAACCAACCATACAGACGAGCCGATGCGGTGAGGAGAAGTGTCAGGCGGCGCTTTGATGATCAGAACTTACGTTCTGTCAATGGTGCCGAAATAACCATGTGAACCCAAGACCTGCCTGTATGAAGAGGGTGTTCGTGAATGAAACTGTCCACATAAACTTTATGTGCTACCATTTAACTGCAGCCTTGAACATAGATTAAATATTCAAAGGGCTCAGATTTAGCAAACACGTAGGAAATTTAAAAATAATGGGCTCTCCTTTCAACCTTTGTTAACAAGTGCCTAAAAGTGGAAGTACCTGCTCAGATTAATCAAAGCAATAGGATTTGATTTGATTAGGTATCTTTTTACACCCATATGTTATTCAATTTTTTAACCAAAATGTAAATTTCATATTACATTTATTAGTTGCCATTCTAATTGTCCCATGATGGCCCACCCTCATTTCCTGATAAGTTGTAAATAACATGGGTACATTCGCTGTTGGCTTCCTTTGCTGAAATGTCTTTTAAGGGATTAATTGATTTTGGGGCTAATTTTTTGTTACAGCCATATATAAGAAGATAGTATTTTTAAGGGCTTGCAACATGGAAGGAAACAATTACATGATAAATTCCTTTGGTCAATAACCAAACTCCCAGCAAAATCCAAACAGGATGCAATTGCAGTGGCACAAAAGTCACTCAACTCTGTCTTGTATTATATTCTACTACTTCTCTGGTAGGGTATGATGCCTTTGAGACATTCACAGTTAACAATGCAAGGATATGATGGCATACAACTGTATAAGACTTGTTTGCAGTACTGTGTTCTTCAGTTAGAGGCAGCTTTAAAAAATAATGCAAATGTATTTATTAATTAGTGTTAAAATTAACATCTCAGTAATCAGTACTAGGACTTCTGAGGACCATTATTGGGTCAATTTTGAGAATAGAAATTGGTGCCTTGCCAGCCAGGGAGTTCAATTGCTCCATCAAGCAGTCAAGATTATTTCTGCTAGCACAGTAGTGTTAGTTTGCCTGGCCTTACTCTCCTCTGACAATCGCAGGGTTCTTGCCCTTTCCCCAATTTTTCCTTTTGTAAATTGGCATTCAAAGTTAAGAAGTTTAGTATTTCCCAGTTTACTCTGTGGGAACTGTAATTAAATTGCTGAAGTTTTGGGATTAAGTTTGAATGATAAGTAATGGAACTAAATGGTCAACTAAGCCATTGTAATTTTTCCTTCATCTCTGGCAGGGCACTTGATCCATTCCAAAGTCAAAAACTGGACTGAAGCTCATTTGTACTTTTCATAACCTACGATTTCTGCTTCTGGCTTACCTTCTTGGCACATTACATCAATATGTTAATTGTAAAGTTTTATTGTATAGTATTTAACCACTGAATTTCTTCTTTTATGTTGTGCTTACCTGAATTCCTTGGTGAAGGCCCCATTTTCCTTGGATAATGTGTAGTTATATGAGCTCTTTTTAAATGTACAGATATTTTGCTATAAAATTGGTGCAGTTTTTTATGGTTTTTACACTTCTCCTTAATTCCTACCTAAGTCTCTGGGTAATATTGTAAATATTGTTTAAAAATGCATCAGCCTATGCTATACAATCTGAATGTTATTTTAACTTATAGTTTTGTTGGTTTTTTTTGTTTAATATATATTTAACTACAAGGACAGTTTAGGGATCAGTTACATTTCACTTTAGCATACCAATTTACGGAAATACTTCAAAACTGCCACCTCAGTACATTTTCATAAATGTGTCCCTTAAAAAAGAACATGCTAAGATTTTGTCTGTTGATTCTTCATTTTGATAAAATAAATTTAACCATGAGATAAAACACAAATGGTTGATCTTTTACTATAAGCAGCTGTTTTCCAAAGCTCATTATTGAGCATGTTAAAATAATTGCCTACTTATTATCTACAAATAGACAATAATATTAGCATGTTCTTTTGTCTATTAATGGTCCTGCTTCTTAGCAATATTAGAAATGTTTTATAAAAGCAGTTCATGTTACTTTTCTGGTCTTTTCATGGCATATGAGCAAATAAACTATTTACTACTCTCCTGTAATATACTGTGGTCTTTCAGTGGTAGACTTTAGCAGGTTAATATATACCTTTTATCTTCTAGAAGCAGATGTTTTGCTACTTGAATTCAGAATTTGTGGTAAGTTTTAAGCAAATCCCCTCTCCATAGGAGGTCTTGACTACTTGCTATATGGAATGTGTGAACCAAATAGATTTGATATTGAAGCAAACCGGGAACAAGAAAATTTTAACTTCAGAAACTTTCCAGGTGTCTTAGAAACAACTAAGAAGAATATAAAGTCATTTAAGGAATTAGTATATTAGGTCTTTGTTCACAAGTCGTTTTTCCCCACTATGTGAATCTTCTCATCCCAACTGCCCCCACCCCTGCACTTCTGTCCTACACCCCGTTTTCGTATGCATAAATAAAACCCCATCTTAAAAAATACAAACTCAGACCCACTAGAATTCCCTGTGATGACACATTAAGGTCCAGTAATTCAACAGCACTCAGCACAAAATGAGATTAGCTGGCCATCACTGCCTCTACTTGTTCAATGTATTAGAATGATCTAATTTTACAGTGGAAAATACTGTTTCCAGTTTAATGTCAGAATTTATGTACATTATTTTTCCGGCATATTTAAAATATTTGACCAACAGTTTTGTTAAAAGGTAAGGAAGTTGAGCCCCCATCTTTTGTTGTGTCATGGCAGTGTCAGCTTAGAGCACGTGGGTGTCCAGTAGCTTAAGAGCTTTTACCTAGTTTAATTTTTATCAGAAATATCTGCAAAGATGAGTATACTAGAGGCCAAATATGTATGAAAGGGTTATTAATGTTAAACTTTTCTCTGTCTTGTTTTAGTCAACTCCCTAAATTTGAAGCAAGAAACAAAGGAAGGAGTGTCGATATACTTTGTGGCCTAACTTTTTATAGCAATAAGTAATTACATTGAGAAAGCAGAACATGGACAGCTAGCATCTCATCAGAGAACTGCATATGAGAAGTGTGAAAAATAAGCTGACACAAATCCAACTTATGTAGTAAAAGATGCCACTTTTTCTAATAAATTGTTTATTTACAAAAGGTCTAATAGCTTGTGAGGTTCTTTACATCAGAACAATATATTAAGACAGAAGAGAAGACCTGGTAGTTACAAACACAGAAAATAGAAATCTTGTTCCCTCTATTACTCACCTTTCAGAACAAATCTTGAGTTTAGTTGTAGAGGTAGGCAAAAGGGAGTAACAGCTACCAAAAAAGTTTGCAGGCATAACTAAAAAAAAAGTTTATAAATAGCAATTTAGATATACCAAAGGAGGAATAGCATATAAGAATAGCTTAGTTTGACTCTGATTTACTTAAAAAGTGTTTATTTTGATTGGAAATGCAGGTAAGATGTAGAAGAGAGGTTTTTCAGTTCCCTGAAATGTAATTGTCAACTTTCTATCTAGGGCACCTACTATCAAATTAACAGTCATTTATCAATCACCAACAATGACTATCTCATTGTCATAAAAGCTGTTTTTTATACAGTAAGTAAACAAGCAAAAAAAAAACAAAACCATGCAGTTTATTGCAATTAGTTTAGGTCAGGTAGGAAATAAAAAAAAAGGGAGGGCTATGGGGAGTGAGTGTGGTAATTAGTGCCACGTAGTCTCATCTCTCATCTGCTCCAGTAACATTTGTGCTTGCCATGTTGCTATTTAGCCTTTTTACTTTTCAAAAATTGCCTGAAATAGCTGTAAGCTTAAAATTACAGCAGGGATTTAACTAGTTACAACCAAGTTATGGAAACATGTCCATAGATAATGGACTATTACTCAGCTATAAAAAATGAAACCTTGCCATTTCCAACATGAATGGGATTGGAGGGGATCATGCTAGTGAAATAAGGAGCAAGGTAAATTCCAGATAATTTCATTCACATGGATTATCAAGAAACCAACAGATAAAGCAAACAAACCAAAACAAACTAGAAAACTAACAGAACAGAGGCTACCAGGGTGGAAGTGCAGGAAGGAGGGAGGAGGCCCAATGAATGGAGGTGAATTTTGGGTACTGTTGGTGGCTGATATAACAATTCTTGAAGAGGTAGAAACCCTTTAACCCTGTTATACTATAAACTGCTGCTAGCTACCTAGAATTTTTTCTTCTTCTAATTTTGTGTCTTCTAATGGACAATTGAAGTCAAGAATTTAATCATTTTTATTTTAATTTCTGGCTTCTAAAAGCTGTACTTGCTTGAGTTCACTGTTTTTTCCAAAAAAAGTACTTATTTTGCTATTGTGATTGCTGTGACCTCTTGTGTAACACCAATTAATGTAAAAGCTGCTAAAGTTATGGTACATGAATTTATGAACGGGATGTGAAAAGTTCTGTTCCATAGTAACACCAGGGGTTTCCTTTAAACGCAAAGGCCACATGGAATTTGCATGCCTCATTAACAACCAACCTTGTGGGTATTTCTGAGGTAACGGTTAAGGAGGGTGACAGTAACTAAACATTAGGTATACTTCAATTATATATGTACCTTTAGGTTAGTATGGTTATTCCAATGATGCTTTTTCAAACTTTAGTACAGATTGTGTGTGCCATGGTGGATGCTGGATGATTTTGTCATTCAACTAATACTTTACATTCAGTAAATGCCTAGTATGTTGCCAGGTACTATTCTAATCCTCAGGATACACAAGTGAATGAAACACAAATCTCTGTCCCCAAGGAACTAGACCATCATTTAAGTATAAAGAACTGAAAACCTTAAGAGCAAGGTAAGAATAGGAAGGTAAGAATTATTTTTTGGCATATGCCATTACCATAACCAGACAATGAAATTATAAGCCTATTATTATAAGCTTATGAGAACACAGTTTATGAAAATGACTTAAGATTTTATTTTGCTTTGTATTTATAAGTGCAGTTTTACTTGAAGAATGAAACTTTGTATTGAGAATCCAACTTCAAGGAAAAAATCTTAAGTGGAATTAATATGCTCTGCCTCATTTTGCTTTTCTAAGTGTTTTAGTTTTCAGTTTTGTAATTTACATTTAAAGTACACAATGTAGTTTACTGTCCTATAAACTTTAGAGGCATTCCTCACTCTTCCCTGTTGCTATTTTATTAGCAACTGTTCTAATAGCATCTAACTTAAAAAAAAAATTATACAAAGGGAGCTGCCCCTTTGTAGATGTAAAAATAAATGTCTGCTTAGTCAGCACTCAGTTAATTGTTAAAACTGGAAGAAAACTGGGATCATGTAGGCAAATAACCTTTCGTGAAAAATACAGCTTTTAGGAGTATAGTCTCTCTACTCAACTATTAAGAATTAAGATTGCCTTATTCTAGGCCAATCATTTTCATTTTATAGTTGTACAAATGAACAAACCAAAAGATGAGATAGCTGTTGGTACTTGATTATCATCAAATTTTCTGGGAGAGGAAAAAAGATTTGATACTGGAAAAGATGAAATAACTTACATGTCGAAGCTACTTTGGGTAATGAAATGGTATCAGCTATGCTAAAAATTGTGGGATCACTGCTTTTTGAAAAAGTACTGTCATATAAAAATACTTAGGGAAGATGCAAGCAATATGAAATGTATTAGTGCATTTAATCCAATTAACATGCTACTGAGAGGAAGAGAAATTTTCTTCCTAGGTGTCCAAAGCTTAATTGGAAAGTACTAATTTTCTCCCTACTGGAAAACAACCTGCTTTCCCATTTGAACACTTTTGTCAAACTCCTGTTTGAACATATGTACTCAACCATAATAGAACAAACGTTAACAAGATATTTGTTTTTCCCAGCTGAAAATTTAGAAACCAAATATAATAGGTTAACAGTATTCATGCAAACTCCTGCTTTAATAGTCTTTCAACACCTGTTGTCTTCAGATCATACATCTTTCTAGCAACTCCCATTTGTTAAGAGCAATGGTAGACAAGTATTACAAACAATTCAATGACATCTTTTAAACCAGGATTTTCTGGTGTGAACTGTAGTTTTAAGTTTTAAACTGTTTATAGGCCAAATTATTTTCATGGGGGGAACTATAAGATAATTTGAATTTGTACTGTCTTCTATGGTGAGTTGATGTTGTGAAAAGAAAATTGTATCTTGTAACAAATACAGAAATCTATTTTAAGGACATGCTAAAACACATCAGTAGCTTTTTATTTAAATAGAAAATCAAAACTTTAAAGTTGTACTTAAAAAAATCATCATTCATGGAAGTTATTAGAACAAAATTTTACAGATTCTGAATTCTTCTGTGAAACATCACTAGTATTTCTGCCAATCAATATCATATGCATATTTTAAAGATTTACCACTAACTTCCATGTGAAGTGTTAACATGATTAGCAATAAAATTACTACCATTACAACGGGACCTCTGAAAATTAAGTCTAGGCAACTCCCTGTTGCCAAAGTTGTTATGTTTTGGTTCTAATATACAATAGAAGACTAACCTTAAAGCAAGCAATCTGATTACTTCACATTTTCTAAAGATAGTAAGTCTCACTTTCTACAAAGTCATGTCATATTTCACAGCAGAAAAATGACTTGGCAGAGACAAGTTTAGAAATAAATCTGAGACTTAACAACTGATGTTAGATTTAACTAAATTAAACAAGGGAGGCAGGGTGGGAAAGAATTATCCTGGTCAGTAGTCCCACTTTCAAATTCATTAGTATGGTAAAGAAAAAGAAAATGAACTTTTCTGTTCTTGAAATAGGATTGCTCCAAGTGTGTAAAACAGGAAGGAGGGAAAAAAAAAAAACAAAAACAAACCCCAAGATATTACCAAAGACTGCTAAAATTCACTTAAAAAAAATCTCCTGCACTGAAGGAAAATATAAATCACATTACTAACCTTCAAAAGTTAGCATGTAAAGAGTATTCTAGCTTCTAGCCACTATATCTCTAAAGTATTTTGTAGGAAATTCATAAACCAAAAAACAAAACAAAACAGATATGGGGCCTCAAACGCACTGATTTGTGAAATTCTTAAAAAAGTAACCTAGTTATGTGGGTAAGATGAAGCAAAATTTAGGTTATTTAGTATCTTTAAATGATTAACTTTTTTGAGCTGAGCATTTTAAATAGAAATAAATACTAGTACACGCTAGAAGAGAAGGTTTAATAATTGATAAAAAATGTACAAAAATATTCAAATCAGAAATGCTTTAGAATGTGTACCATGAAGTCAACACTTCTCAGTGAGTAGGGATGGTAAAAGACTAACTCATTGGAGAAAAAAATTAAAAAAAAAAAAAAAAAAAAAAAGCCAGAGAAAGATTGGATTAAAAAAAAGACAACTGTTAAAGAAAATGTTTAAGTCAACATTGATTTGTTTTCAGGCAAGGATATTGCAACTATCACTTAAAGTTTGGTGGCACATTCTTTCGTAGGTCCTTAAGGCAATATATTTAAAGTAATTTACAATTTGATTTGATGTTAATTTTTTGAACATCACCTCAAAATAATGCCCTCACAATAGCCTTTTTAAAATGTATTCAGATGTTTCATAAAAAATAATGGTGGCTTTATTATAGTAGTGCTCAGCAGCACTACTATAGTTAAGGGTCTATCAGGTTTCCATTTAGAACACCTATTTCTGAGTTCACCATAAAAGATCATATTGGCTTTAACCAGTTGGGTAGTGCACAAAAAAGCATTTTTATCAGTTGCTGGTGCTTTTTTTGTACTACTAGTTATCAAAAAATTTTTCATTATATTGTCAAAATCCAACTTCTATAAAGTTAAATCAAATTACCTCATGACTTAGACTTTAGAACAAAGTAGAGACATCTGCAGTTATCAATAAATTGCCACCTTTAATCCATCCTGCAGTGCCCTATGAAAGGGTCACAGAAAGACAGTTATGACCATATGAAAATATGATTCTTGACACAGAATCAAATGTTATTTTCAATTTCCTTTGCTTTTATAAAGTCCACAATAACAATACTTAAATGTACTTTTTCCCCTGTGATATAATTAAAACCCAGTGTTATTTCAATTGAACTTAAAGTAGAGTCCCTGGTCTGAATTAGACTTTACATCATACTGTAAACGTATTTGGTATAATTTATTGATCATCATCCAGTTGCTCCAAAAGGGTTCTTCTGCGCTTTTCCAATTCTCCTTCACTTAGTTCACTGCCAGAAGTATCCCAATTACCCTGAAAAGACATTGAATATAATTATGTGTGATGTTAATACTCAAAAGGTTAAGTAGTAATGAACCTCTGAAACAAATTATCGGAATTTGGATTTTCACCCACAGAAACCACATCTTCCAAAAATTATCAAGCCACTGCAGTTATATTAGGGAGATGTATGTGTAATTCAGGGGAGCTTTTATAAGAGGCTACTAATAGGAGAATGGCACATACCAGTTTCTTTTCATTATAGTATGTGAAATCTTTTTCTGTCTTAATAGAAGTTGATTTCATAGGACCTGTATTTCTTGCTGATTTTGCACAAATTTTATGTTGTTCTACTATTTTATATTACAGAAAAATCAAAGTTTAAGCATACTATATTCAGATAAATGTACAATGTGAACAGGATAGTACTTAGTATTGGTTTTCCATTCTTATCATCCTATGTTATCTGTAAGACATAGCCTTTGGAAAGTGGGCAGTTTGTCTAGCCCCTTAGGGGAATTTCATTTAACACTATAAGGAAGAGAGTGTTAAACAGAATGCTAGTAAAAACTCTATACCCCATAGTGCAACTTTAAGAAAAAACTTCTGATTATCAGTGAATACAGAGTATAAAAGGACGGACTAACAAGGCTTATCAAAACTTGCCACTGGCAATTTTGTAGCCACTTCCTTGCTAAGCAAGCCCCCCATAGCATCTATGGAAGAAATGCCAATGTTAGGAGAACACTAATTTTATATATGATCTATTGAGAAACGCACAGCATGGGATGGCCTACGGCAACCACTTGCACATTGTTAAAAGATGCATGATTGTATATATACACATGTATGTGTAATTCATATTAACTATGACTTTGCTTACTCCTCCTTATTTGCACTTGCCTCTTCCCATCATTGATTAACAATGACAACTGTGGCTGTCTGGGGGGAGAACCCAGGTACTATCTTCAATTCTTTATTTCTTAAACTATTTAGTATTACTTCTTAAGACTGTACAAAGCAGAAGACCATACCCTTTCTTAGTGGTTAAATTACAGTTACGGAATGCTACGGTGTTTTAAAGAAATATAAAATTACGGACATTCTAAGCAGCAGTCACTTCTAATTATATGTTAAATTATTTTCTGAGTGATAACTTTCACCAATAATAATAGGCCTGAGAAAAGTTTTTTACCACAGTATTCTGTATTTTTCAAAATTCTAAGTACTTACAGAATCCTTTCCAGTCTTTTTCTTGGGCGATTTGTGCTTTGATTCTGATCTCTGTCTAGTTCTTTCTTTTTCGCTTTCCCGGTCTTTTTCTTTTTTATCTTTTTCTCGCTCAGCATCTGACTCTGGAGAGTCCTATGTAAATAAAAAATGGCATGTTAACATTTAAAAAAAAAAAAAAGATTTATGGATATAGAACAGGCCAGAGGTGCAGGGGGTGGGGTGGGGTGGGGGAGACAGGATTCAAGGATTCACCAGAGGCAGAGTGGGGAGCAGCAGGCGAGACAGGTCTGTTGTGCCATGTGGGTCACCTCCAGGGCCGGGGATTGAACTTGCACTGAAGTGGCTGTGGCTTAGCTTGCAGTGCTGTGTCCTAACCCATTGCGCCACCGGGGAAGGCCTCATGTTAGCATTTTGATAGACAACATTCTGTTTTGTAAAATTCTTATATAGATAAGCATTTAAGAACATCTGTCTATTAGGGTATGAGTTCCTGGAGAGATTAAAATTTGTGTAGAACTTCAATGATTCTATAACATTTCTAAGATTCATGGGAGGGAGTTGGCTCTCCTATGAGAAGGATTACATTTTGTAATCAGATTTAAGACTGGAATTAAAATTGGATCATACCTTTTATGTAAATGTAAATAATTTGTTCCCTCACTAACTTAAAATATTGTTTCTCAAAATGCATATTTAAATGCTGCAATTAGCTTAATCATTGTATTAAGTAATGTAAAACTCTTTCTTCAAACTGCTGACATTTAAGACATTTTCAGGACCTACATGGGCCTTCATTAGATATGTACAAACTCAAATGAACACGTCAGTGGTAACACCAAGGCCCTTAATTTTGAAAATGTTCTGTATGTGTATCTAAGATTAAAAAGTAGAGAAAGGAGTTGCTTAAGTATTTAAACTTGTTCTTGACAATAGCTACAGCACATACCTACAAACACATAGGCTATTTCTGTAAGATGGTTCTTTTAAAGCCAGAGTTAATATCTTAAAACTGTTTTTTTTTCTTCCTTCAAAGCTCACCAAAAGACTAATGGAACATTGGTTGAAGAACTAAAATAAAATTTGATTTAACACCTGAGTCTAGTTCATGGACTGCAAAACTAAGGACATTAACCTAGGTGCTATGTAAAAATTAAACGCTTACAGATTTATGTCTCCTCTTCTTGCTTTTCTTCTTATGTTTTTTTGACTTCTTATAACTTCTCTCTAAGCAGCATGAAAAGAAAGGTGTCAGGATTTAAGGACATCCAAGTCAGTAACTTTAATTAAGTAGATAGATGTGCTTACCAGATTCAGCACTAGAAGAATGTTCTGAAGCAGAACGAGACTCGGATCGCTGTCTCTTTTTCTTTGAATGGCTGTCGTCATCATCTGAATCTGACCCCTAAATAATAATAGTAATTTCATTCACAATGATGCTAACAAATATGTTAATACACTTAAGGTTCCATGTAATAAACTTCCTTACTGATCGAGAGCGGGAACGTTTCCTGTGGTGTTTTTTAGACTTTTTAGAGTGTTTCTTGTTCTTTGAATGGTGATGCTGACATTCGTGCTGCAATGACAGAAGAAATGTTACTTTTACTTTAAACTACAGATCTTATTCATTAAGACATCTCAATATTATGGCTTTATAGGAATGAGAATAGTATGGGTTAGTAGGAAGAAATGCAGAGCATAATCTACACAACAGTCACACTGCTTTCAAAAATAATGGAAATACACTTACATTCACGAATAGCCTTTCTGGCCTTTGTGAGTTATGCTAAAATTTCATGCTTTTCTATTTCAAGGTCCCAATACAGGAAGTCCAAAACTATTCATTAGTTCCATTTATGACTTCATGATGATAAAAGAATCAGATTCTTGAATTGGGAAAAGACAGGGAAAAGTCCAGTAGAGCTAAACTTCACAAATTTACATTCTAGAGCCTCAGAACCTTATTAAAATGATTCAAATGTAGGATATCTGCTGATTAGGTCTCGCCTACAAGTATCCAGGTAATGCAGATGCTGACCTGATACATTTGACTAGAAAAGATCAAGAGGCCGTCAAGACTACAGCTAGAGGAAGCTGGGAAATAATATAGGGTGCAGGTGGATAATGTCAACAGAGGAAACTACAATCAAAACTGACATCAAGCACAATAATTATGAACTGCTGACTTCCTATGTCCAATTACCATGTGACACTGTAATGCCAGCTTCCAGATGTTGGGCTTTATTTACACCTGGCAAGATCAGCATATTTGATTAATGGAATGAAACAGTTTGGCCTAGAACCTTTCTCCTGCAAGTACTATCTCATTTTGTTCATTTGTTAACTCCACAAGGTTATTGTGAGAATTGCATTCTTACATTTAATATGTGTAATAATTACAGCAGTGTCTGCCCACAAAGGCACCAAAAATTGTTATCCAATTGGTCAATTTAGCATACAACTGTATACCTAAAAATCTTCCAATACTCTTCAATTAATATACTAACATGCAGTTTAACCGCTAGTGCAGAAACGTAGTTATTATATTTCCACAAACGTCTAATGTAACACTGAAATTTAAAAGCTGTTTTCTGTTTTGTAAGATTTTAAATTTACACTAGAGTGTAGCTATATTGCTAAACTGAACATTCTAAAATATGAACAAATGCAGTCTTTACAAATATTTATATCCCTATGCGATTTTAGTTTGTTTCACAATTTCTACAGAAATAATTTTATAATCATCCCAGGCAAGTATATTTTGTGCAAAAACAGTATGAGTTAAGAAAACTTCTATCATTCTAAATCCTTTTTGTTTATACATTTATATTTTGTAGTATTTCAGAGTACCAAAATTACCTCAAGCACATGCATAAAATCTTTAAATATTCGCTTTCTTTCAGATTCTAGAGTTATGTCCTCAAATGCTGGCTCTTTTACAAATCTCTCCCGGATCTGGAAAATTAAGATATTGAACATAGTATGACTTTCCAAAAAATCAAATTTAAAAATAACAACAGCAACTGAAAATGATGACAAACTGTCTTTAAGAGTTTATATTTCTTAAAAAACACTGGATTGGGCTTCACAGAATGGACAGCTGGCTTTATAGTCTGAATTTATTTTTAATAATTGCTCTAGAATTGTGACTATACAATGGGCAAGAATGAAAATGTTGCTTAATTGTAAACCAGATAGTTCATTAGTAAATGGTGAAGTTATTTATAAGTATACATACATCTTCCCAGACAGCATCCAACTCTATTGGAGGAGTAGCTTGTTTCAACATACTCTTAAATGCAGATTCTTTCCGTTTCATCTTCCGAGCCTCCTCTTTTTCTCTTTCACGTTCACGGGCTTCTGCCTTTTCTAGTAACTTTTAGAAAACCATATTTAATCAGCTATAATGGTGAAATTATCCTTGTTAATATCTATACTTCATATTCTCCCACTGTTTACAAATGCCAATTGGTAACACCAATTAATGTGAGCAAAGGAAATTTAACTCAGCCCATCATGTAAATGTTTTCTCTCTCATTACCCTGAAAGACTATCTACTCTGAAGGTCTAATCATGCTTCTTTACTCCCATAGACTACAGCTCACGTACTGATTATATTAAAAACAGCACTATTATTTGTAAGAACTTACACTATTGAAAGCCAACTTAATATTCCCAGCATCTAATGTGGTTGATCTTTTTGTTGAACTGATTATTGCCACAAAATCTTCAAAAGTAGTATTAACTTCAACTACAAATCCTTTATCCTATGAGAAAAAATAATTCTCATTAATACAAATACCATACCAATTTTGAAAACATACTACAGATTAAGTTAATGTAAATATACCATTTACCTTTAGAATATCTTTTATTATCTTCTTCTCATCATGATAACGTGCTTTAAGATCCTCAACATAAAACTTGAAAAGGTCAAGTGCAGTTGATCCTAATGAAAAAACTAAAGAAGTCAAAAGCTAGCTCTAACCAAAGAGCTGCAATTACTTTTTTGTTTATAAAACAAAATAAAGCACCCATCCAACCCTCAACAAAAGCACTTTATGCCCCTCCAACCTGCCCCTAGCCCCTTCCAATTACTATCATACTATAAATTAGGAAAGAATCTCACCCGGCTGACCAAGCATATTAGTGAATCTAATATCAGAACTGATTGTTGGATACAATTCCATCCAAGATGACATTGAATGCAGTTGTCCATGTTCATGTAATTCATCTAAAAATATCTGCAAAAAAAGACCACCAACAAAAAAAACACACTGTACTGAAAAAATCATTGTTAAGAACATTACAAATATCAGTGTTGCATAAAAACAGCAACATTTAAACTTCTACCAAAGCCATACCAAATATGTTTAGTGCAATGTTTAATATGTTACGCACATATAAGGAAAGAAAACAATCTATTTTTAAGCAAAATTTTGAACTTCAGAAAAATACCTACGAAATTCCAGTTTACTATCTCTAAAGATAGATTATGTGCATCTCAAAATTAAACATAATGGTAAAAATTAAGTCAAAACATTGGATACCTACTATATGAATGATGAAGCCAAAGAATGGGTGTTTCCTGTAGTAATTTTTAAAGCACAGTGAATAATGAACTTTGTGTATCAACTTTCTGAACAAATATGGACCTCCAAGAGGAAGATTTTAATTCAAGGAAAATAAATCAAGCTCATATCTGATTTCAAAATATACTTCCTTTCTTTCAAATACTATTGTGCCTTCGAGCTAAATTTTTATATATTTATTTCAATTTCTTTAGCCATTTTACCTATGCTGACATTCACAGCAACATATTGAGATATTAGTACTCAACAATTTTTATATTTCTTGCTTCTCCTAAACCTCTGAGTACTATCCTATAAACTAATGTCCTTAAAAGAACTATAAGCCATAATTCTGCTCCTAAAATTCCAACACCTCAACTGTTCAATCTTGTAGCAACATTCAGTTTGGTATTCATTGTAGCCTCTAAGTACATGAAATGCAGTTACATTGAATTGCTGTGTATCCCATCAGTATTAAATATAATTTTAATGATTGCCAAAAACATTATTTTCAAAACTACTGGTTTTGCCTTAACAGTTTGAAGAAAAGACTACCATTAATTTAAAGCTCAAAAAAAAAAAAAAAATGTTGTGGAGAACCTCCCTGGTCGTACCACAGGTTAAAGTATTGAACGAGGAGGTAATCTGCAGCCACTGCAGCATGGGTTCGATGCCCAGCAAAGGAGGTGACCTACATAGCTAGGCAGAACTCCCATGCCCTATATCTGCTGCTGCCCTCAGCAGTGTAATTCAGTCAATCTGCCTGTTATGCTCCAACCTGGTGAATCCCCTCACCCCCACACCTCTGGCCTATACCCCAGTTCTTGTATACATAAATAAATAAATCTTAAAAAAAAAAAAAAAAATGCTATGGCATACATTTTTATTGGCTAGCATTGCCCTGAATAACACCAGACACCTAGAACTCCCCTTCTCCAAGAACATGTCCATACAGTCAACATCTTACCCTCATCTCCTTCATACTGTACAGCCACCCTTGAATTTTAAACCTTCCAAGTTTTTGCTTAATGAAAGACAGCACTAATGGTAAGATTTTTCATTCTCTCCCTCTTGACTAGTTTTCACTTACCCAATAAAAACCATTTATTTTCTTAACTGTAAGCTTATTTAAACTTTATTATCAAAAGCTTCAAGAAATGACTAATTTTGCTTCTATTTATCTTAAAGCTATTTGGCAACCCCTCTGACTTTCCATGCTAGCAGTCAGTTAACACCTTAAAAACTATATAGCTAATTGTTTTTCAGGCTTATTTAATGATTCTTAACACGCTCCATTTTTGTTGGTTGCAAGAGCTAGTAAAAACCATGAATTGTTGAGCTGCACGACCAGAATCTTAATCAGTAGGCCTAGTATAGGGTTTTAGAATTTTCATTTTCATAAATCCCAGATGGTGCTAATGGCTTGAAGACCAGTGCTCTATCTAAAAAATGCACCTTAGCTTCTGAGACACTGTACATTCCTTTAAAATCTTTGGTCATTTCTTTCCATCTTGAGATGAATCAAAAAAACTTAAGAAAAGTAACCATAGGTCCCTTTTTACAGATGTGATAAAGTGTTTACCACCACCTAATAGGTAAATTAATATTTGATTAAATGTCAGCTATTATCATTATGGGCAATGCTCTTTCATCATGATTTTTAAAATTTCTAATGTCAATTTTGTAATTAATTTTACTGAAATTCTAAATATATGCTTTGACAGGCAATGCAGCAGCATAGGAAAATTATTATCTAAATCAACATAAAAATGCTAGTATGAATTATATTAACAATCAGAAAACATGCCAGATATCTACTGACCAATAAAGTCATATTTTAGGTCTATAGGTCTATCTAGCCTTTTCATTTCTCCTCCATTCTCCACAGAATTGAAGCTATATTCTTCTGTACTTTCTGTGACCCAGATTTCCTTTATTTGACTGTTATTATTTATCACATATTTTTCTTTAAAACATTGCAAAGCCCATCATCAACATTAAAATTTAAAGTCTACAATGTCAGATGACCTCTTAAAACTAGTCTGAGGTATATGGCTTAATTGATATTTAGATTTTCTTGCCTCTTTATTTTTTTTTAAAGATTTATTTATTTATTCGTATAGAACTGGGGTACCGGCCAGAGGCTCAGGGGCGGTAAGAGGCCTCACCAGAGACAGAGTGGAGAGCAGAACAGGCAGATCTACGAAGTACACTGCTAAGGGGAGCAGCGGGAGGGTCAGGAGAGGTCTGCCGCGCCATGTGG